GGCAGGGATAAAATAATATAAAAAATAATATATAAAAACCAAAGGCTTATATAACTAAAACTATGGTACTTAAAGATTTTAAAAAAACCTATAAGAACAAGTTACATAAAGCAAAGAGACATTAAATATAAATATTTATATTTATAATTTACGCGCACTTATAAAAAAGAAAAAAAATATATTATTTTTACTAATTAGCAGCGCCCGCAGGGCCTTTTAATAAAAAAAAAAAAAAAATATAAAATAAAATAAAAAATAATAAAAAACTTAAATANAAAATAAAAAATAATAAAAAACTTAAATAAGTAGCTAAGCCGCGCGGCGCGTAGTACTTAATATATATAAAATAAAAACCAAGCCCACAAGGGCGCTAATACCAACACCTAATATAAAAGTAACCCTAATAAAAATCCCTAAAAACGCTAAGGCGCAGTAAACCCTATACTAAAAGTAATAAAAGTTTATAAAAAAATTAGTAACATAATATAGTATAAACTAAAATATATAAATATATACTTAGTAGCTAAAGCCGCACCTATATAAAAAAAAAATTATAATTATTAAAGTAATGCTAAACAAAGGTTTAAAAACTAAAAAAAAAACTATTATAATAAATTAGTAAACTAAAATATAATAATATTATAGGAAAAGGACTAATTTATATAGTAAATTATTATTTTTATTAAGGGGGGCACTAACCTGCAAAGTAAAGTTAAATATAAATATAATAATATTTATAAGGTTAGTTACCTGCGCATTATTAGCCATAATAATTTACTTAATAATTACTTTAAATACTTAATAAGCTACCCTTAAGGTAGTAAAATCTTTATAAGCTTATGAATTATTAGCTTTTATATATATAATATTAATAGTATTAAAAATATTTTATAGCTAGTTACCTACTAAAGTAATATTAATAACTATATATTTTAAAAGCGCCCTTTTTATATTATAATAAAACTAGCACTTCCCACCCCCCTAGTTATAAGTAAGGGCTTTTATTATAATATTTATAATAAATATATTTTTATTTTAGTATTTTATAATAGTAACACATATAATATACCATGGGATATAAAAATTAAGTAGTAAAATTATAAAGCCCGGGGGTGGCGGGGGAAGAACATTAATAAAAGCCTTATTAATAGGGGCGGCAGGAATAATAGTAGGGGTAATAATAATAATAATAGTAATAAGGGCACGCAAGTATTAAAATTAAGTTATTTTAATAATTAATATATTAATAATTATTAATATACAAGCAAAGGGCAGGAAAATATAATCCTATATACTAAAGGTAAAATAAAAAGTAAAGGCTAAAACCAAGGCTTAACTACCATAATAAAAAAATATAAAATAAAATACTATAATAAAATAAATAATTACTAATAATAGTATTTAAAGTATAATATAAAACTATATTAAATATTAAAGCAAGAGAAACATAAAGCAAAAAGCAAATATAAAAAATCTTAAAAAAAAAATAGGGTTAGGAACACGCGGCATAATAAAGGCTATAATAAAAATAAACCATGTTTAATTTAACTACTAAAAATAGTTTTAAAAATATAAAAATAACAAGAGCCAAATGCAAAAAGCTTATTAGCTAAATTAAAAAGGTAAGTATATAATAAAATATAAAAAAAAGGTAAATAAAAGGCTAATATAATAATATATTAATAACTAAAATAAAATAACCACATATTATAAACAGTTACTAAAGGCATTAAAAAAAGTGTAAAAACAAGAAAACTTAGCTATTTAAAGCTTAAAGCTTTATTATAAAAACTAAGCGTAAAATAAAATAAAATATACAGGCCTAATAATACTAACATAAAACTAATATTACTAAAATAAATAATATAATACTTAAAGAGCATAAGAAAGGGCAAATATAGGGTATTTTAACTTTAAAAATATAATTAAATAATTAAAAAATAATAAAAACATAATAAAAAAGGCATATACTTATAGGAGCCATCTTGCTTTAAACATTAAAAAAATTTAAAAAAAAAAAAAAAAAAAAGATTACAAGGGCGCTTTAATATTAAAATTAAAATACTATGCCTAGCCACCGCAGGCAGTAACACTATATTTAAATTTAAAAGTAAAGTAAGATAATTAAATTAATTTTTTATACCTAATTTTAAACATAAATTACACGTAAATTATAATATTTTATAAACCTAAAAATAGCTTATTTTATAACGCTTAACAAGATCTATAATTTAAATTATATTTTATAAAGTATAAATATAAATTTATAAATTATAAGGGCGCGATTACTTAAAAAAAAAGTATTATTATTATTATTATAGTATTATAACTACATAGTATTATAATAATATAATCCAGCGGCCTAAGGCCGCCGGGTAAAGGAATATTAGTACTAAACTAGCCGCGCGCCAAGGCGGCAGCTAGTTATATAATATATAAAATACTAAGTTTAACTCCAAACTTTGACTTAGGGAATTAGTAATTAGTTCCTACTACAAATACACAACGCCTTTTTTATTGCAGTAATTCACGTTCTCCTAAGCTCACCGCAGTATACAAACGCGACTTACAGTGGCGCGGAAGGCTAACCTAGCCAAATTAGGAAATAGGGCGTAGCTCTATTTTACTATAGAATAAGGCCTTTAATAAGAAGGCGTTGTGTATTTATAGTAAGAACTAATTACTAATTACGCGTGGCCAAAACAAAGTAAAGGCCAAAGCGCTTAATAATTATAGGTCCTGGCTTCTAGTCACGTGAGCTTTATTAGGAATTATATAAAACAGTAAAATTGCTTAGGGTTGCTATAATTAGTTAAAAAAAAGCATTATTATATAACCTTTTTTTACTGCCTAGACCTCGCGGCGTTAGGTTTACTATAATTAGTTTAAAAAAAGCACTGTTATATAATCTTTTTTAACCGCCTTTTATATATAGCTTTACTATAAATATATATATTTACCTTGCAAAGCTAGGGGGTTTAAGGGGGCGCAGCCCCCTTAGTTCTAGAATTTTAAATACTACTTAAAGGCCTTATTTTATAAAAAAATAAAGCTACGCCTTATTTCCTAATTAAGCTAGTATTATTACTACTATAGTATTATAATTACGCAGTGTTATAATAACACTATCCAGTGGCCTAATACCGCCTGATAAAGGAACTTTGGCGCTAAACTAGCCCCGCGCTAAAGGCAGCGGCTAGTTATATAATGCATAGTGGCCTAAGGCCACCTAATAAAAAGACTTCGGCGCCGAACTAGCCCCGCGCCAAGGCAGCAACCAGTTACATAACATATAGTGGCCTAAGGCCATTTAATAAAGGAACTTTGGCGCTAAACTATCCCCGCGCCAAGGCGGCGGCCAGTTACATAACGCATAAAACACTAAGTTTGACTTAGAACTCTAACTTAGAGATACTATAAATATACAACACCTTTTTATTAAAGGCCTTATTTTATAAAGAAATAGAGCTACGCCCTATTTTTTAATTAGGCTAGTATTATTACCGCTATGGTGTTGTAATTGCGTAGTATTACTAATCTAGCGGCCTAAGGCCGCCTAACAAAGGAACTTTGGCGCTAAACTAGCGCGCTAAGGCGGCGGCCAGTCACATAACACATAAAACACTAAGTTTGACTTAAAACTCTGACTTAAAGATACTATAAATACATAATACCTTTTTATTAAAGGCCTTATTTTATAAAGAAATAGAGCTACGCCCTATTTCCTAATTAGGCTAGTATTATTACTGCTATGGTGTTATAATTATATAGTATTATTAATCTAGCAGCCTGAGGCCGCCTAACAAAGAAACTTTGGCGCCAAACTAGCGCGCCAAGGCGGCGGCTAGTTACATAACATATAAAACACCAAGTTTAACTTAGAACTCTAACTTAGAGATACTATAAATACACAACGCCTTTTTATTAAAGGCCTTATTTTATAAAGAAATAGAGCTACACCCTATTTTTTAATTTAGCCAAGTTAGCCTTCCACGCCACGCGCATTACTCCCGGTATTAAAGCCTACGCCCTAGAAATAACAGGACTTATGTTTTTTAAGTTAAAGTTTTAAGTTAAACTTAGTGTTTTATGCGTTATATAACTAGCCGCCGCCTTAGCGCGGCTAGTTTGGTGCTAAAGTTTTTTTATTAGGCAGCCTTAGGCCATTATATATTATATAACTAGCCACTACCTTGGCGCGGGGTTAGTTTGGCGCTAAAGTTTCTTTATTAGGCGGCCTTAGGCTATTATGTATTATATAACTAGCTGTTATACACCCTGCTAGCTTTGCAAGGTAAATATATATATTTAACCTAGCCTAATTAAGAAATAGGGCATAGCTTTATTTTTTTATAAAATAAGGCCTTTAAGTAGTATTTAAAAATTCTAAAACTAAGGGGGCTGCGCCCCTTTAAACCCCCCTGGCTCTGCAAGGTAAATATATATATTTATGGCAGAGCTAGGAAAAAAAACACGGTAAGAAAAGATTATGTAATTACTCTTTTTTTTAGCTAATCAGCGTTATTTAGTTTAAGTGGTAAAAAGAGGTTATGTAATTGCCCTTTTTTTTAGCTAATTAGCGCCATTTTACCGTTTTACATAATCCTTAATAAAGCTCACGTGACTAGGAGCCGGGACCTATAATTATCAAGCGCTTTGGCCTCCACTTTGTTTCGGCCACGCGCAATAACAGCAGAATATAAATAGTCGATGCACGTGACATGGCCCTGTCGATCTTCCGACCGTGTCCCGAGTGTCGAGCTCAAGCCCGCCACGACCCATTCAACCCCTTACGGTCTACTTGTAGACCATTTCGCTCCTTTCATACCTAGCAGAGCGCAGGACATGATGCTGTCAACTATCTAGTGGCTATCATTAAACCTACGAGAACTCTTCTCTTCAATACACCCGACCCCTGATCTCGCCAGCGAAGTGGCTTGAACCTCCGCGGAGCAATGCAGCGACTTTGATTCTTGTCACCACCCGGTTGAGCCTCGACCATGAGTTATTCATACCTACCTACCACCAATGCGTACCGCCCTGCTCGCCGCCAGAGTACCCCGCCCAGTCTTGTAAAGTCCGTTCACGATGCGCTGCCGCCATGGGCTACACAAGGGGTATATTCGGCCGTCCGTACGGCGAAGAGTCAATTGAATCTGTACAAGAGCAAGGATGAGCTAAAAAGACTCGGACTAAGGACGATCCAAACTCTCTTTACGGTTACGAATGGTCTGATTGTTCTTTGGATCTGTACGTTGTGGTGGGGAGAGCGGAGTGTCTTCCGTGACAGCGTTGATGCGTGCACTTGGAATGCTTGGGAGAAATGGGTAAGTTCGTCGCGCACACCGTCTACTGAAGCTGAAATGCTAATCCGCGTGGCCTTAGCCTACCAACGCCAGACCGCACCACGTCGCCTTCATCGCAGACCCCCAGCTCGTTGATCCGCACACCTACCCCGATCGCCCGTGGCCGCTGTCGACTCTCACCGTGAAATTCACGGACCAGTACATGCGTCGCTCCTTCTCGTCAATGCAGCACACTCTCGACCCGGACTCGGTATTATTCCTTGGTGACCTGTTCGATGGCGGAAGGGAATGGTCGACTCCGACCAGCACCAGCCCGGAAGAGCGGTGGAGGAAATACAAAGATGATTTCTGGAAGAAGGAATTCCATCGCTTTGTGAAGGTCTTCTTGAACCCGTGGAGCAGCCAGGAGACGCAATCGACGAATTCTCGAGGGCGGAGATTGATCGCCAGCTTACCGGGGAATCACGACCAGGGATTCGGCTCGGGGGTCCAATTACCGGTTCGTGATCGCTTTCAGAACTTCTTTGGCAAGGGCAACCGTGTTGACATTATTGGGAATCATACGTTTGTGTCTGTCGATAGTGTCTCGTTGAGTTCGATGGATCAGCCGGATCCCCAGACTGGGAGTACAGGCGCTGGAAATGGAGATGGCGAACGGCCGAACCAGAAGATCTGGCAGGAACCAGAGGACTTTTTGAATGCAATGAAGTTACACCGCGGGCGGGCGGAGATGGACGAGCTGCGCTTCTTGGGCAAGCCGCGAGAGGGTCGGCTGTTCAAGCATGAGGTTACGGTACCCTCGGAGCCTACAATATACCGGGAAGACGACCCTGAGATTATCGGGTTCCCGACCATTCTTTTATCGCATGTACCATTGTACCGGAAGCCAGCGACACCATGCGGTCCTCTGAGAGAGCGGTATCCACCATCTGCAGAAGGGCTGGAAGAGGACGAGCCGAACGCTCTCAAGCTCAGCGGTGGATATCAATACCAGAATGTCCTCACAAAGACCATCTCCAACGACATCGTATCCAAGATCGGTCCAAACCTGGTCCACGTGTACTCTGGAGATGACCACGACTACTGCGAAATCACCCACCGCGAGTTCAGCGGCTCGCCAAAGGAGATCACAGTCAAGAGCACATCGTGGGCAATGGGCGTCCGGAAACCAGGGTTCGTCCTGACAAGTCTCTGGAACCCCATCGACCCTACCACCGGAGCCTCCATCGACTCACAAAGCCCCGGAAGCACCCTGCAAAACCACCTCTGCCTCCTCCCCGACCAACTCTCCATCTTCATCTACTACGGCCTCATCCTCGCCTTCACACTCACCGTCCTCCTCCTGCGAGCCGTCATCCTCGCCCTCCGCAAACCCGAGCCAACAACCCCCGACCCAATCCTCCCCTTGACTGAAACACCCGCAGTCCGCACCCGCGCCCGAGCCGTCTCAATTACGTCCTCCTCCAACTACCAAAACAACTCCTCCATTAAACCGGGCGGGCTTGCCAGCCGCGCAACGAATGGGAACCCGCGCTATACCCCGCCGGTGTCGAATGACGCCAACGGCTATCCTGGCTTCGACTACATTGAAGAGGCGGATACGTCGAAGTGGAAGGCCAGCAGCTCGGATCGGCGGCGGCGCGGGAACGATACGCTGTTTGGTCGTGTCTCGGGTGAGTTTACGGGCTCGGTGAAGAGTGTTGCTCGGGTTGCGCTGGTGTGGTACTTCATTTTGGTTTGGAGGTGGTGATGGAATGTCAATCATCAATGTGATGGAGTCACATTTTGGATTGGTATGCATATGCGTCATTCCTTGCATAGATGGAGTTTATTTAGCCTTTTGTTACATAGTTCTTTTGGTTTACATTTAGAATTAGGATGTGAGGACCTGTGGGATCAACACTGAAAATAACTGCTACTGAGGCCATCAACAGCTGTATTTCACTTGTCAGTCTCAGCAGCGAGGCACCACCAGATGTCAGCGTCCTCGTGTACTTCCTGACCTGCCAAGCCTCTTTAGTCTCACTGAAGTTTTCACTCACTCAACCTCCGTGAGCTTCAGTCCATTCCGTCTCACGACCCAAGACAACGCCGAAAATGAATTCTATCCGAAGCTTTCAACCAAACCTTATCAATATCCTGATTCTTGGTTGTGGCTTGCTGTTGGACGAAGAATAAGCAGAACAGATCTCACCCCGCCATCCAGTTTGGTGGACATATGTCATGTGAGCGTTTTGAAGGCTCATGTGAGTATTACCCTAATATTACACGTGACTGCCAAGCTCAAAGATTACATAACGAAGGCTCATGTGAGCGTTCGGAATGTCCCAGGTCACCTCAACCCTCCGGCAGCAGCACAGCGTTACGGTGTCAAGCTCAGAACCATGTGCTCCACGTGAATGTGGGGAAGAACTGGGGATCAGGTTACCGCAGACTCCATACCAAGGACCGCGCGCTCGGTCCCTATCCAACTACGCTTGTTTGCTCCGTGGCCTTACCCCAACTCCGGTGCCATGGCGTCGAGATTTGATAGCCTGCCAAGGCGTCTGTTGCAGCCACTCCGTTCTCATCCCGCTGGTCCTGTGCTTGAATTGCGTGATGTCCGGATTACCCGGCATCTCCAGGGTGAATCGAATGTGCCGAAACCCTATGGCGCTGTCATGGCCATACAGCAGTCGGGTATTCCCGCCTCTTGAACCCTTGGGCGCTTATCAAATTCAGCCGGGGTTTCCCCGTTATTGGGGCAGTCCGAACCGCCTGGCCAGAAATCGTGACGGACTTCCTTTGGAGTTCCTCGTGAACGAAGTAACCAGGTGCAGGTTTACTACACCATGACAAATCGTGGGGTATATTCGCCGCTCCGAGCCTACCACACCGAGGTTTGATGTCCGTACACAAAGTAACATCATACTAGTTTAACCTATACACCCCGCCGCACAGCCCCGAAGAAAGGCCATTCCGCCCTCCACATCGGCCCTGCCGTCAATCCGAGTCCGGTCGAGCCAGTACTGCCTCCAGGTTCTCGAGTACGACTGAAATCGTGATACTGCAGTTTCTGGTTATCAGACACCATCGGTTCTTAGGCTTGATGACATTTTATTATTGGATAGGCAAGGCCAAGGTCTCTAGCGCACCTTGCTTTGAGGTGGTGGTACCTTGTACAATGGAATATCGCACTTTCCTTCAGTGCGATAGCCTACTCCTGGTCGCTCCTTCCAACATGAGAGTGCTTAATTGAGGCGGGGTTGCCTGGAGGATCGCTGTGTAGAACCATGGATTTCCTCGGTTCAACAGATTGCATCTAGCCCGTCGATCACGACATGATAGACTGGAACAACCTTCTCTAGCCTTGCTAGAAAGCTATGGCGTCTGGCTTGTTTCGGCAAACAATCCCTTACCTACTCAGCACGTCGTGTCATGTCCTCGATTCAAACGCCCGCAGCAAATCCACTATATCGTGCCAACCCTCTCGCTCTGCAATGTTTGCTGCCGTCATACCGTCTCCATCCTTAATGTCCACATCAATGTTGGGATGTCGAAGTAACGCCTCAACAGCACCGTCCCGGTGATTCTCCGCCGCGTGGGAAAGCGCTGTCCGTCCTTGCCGGTCCCGTGCGTTGACCTCAGTCCTGGGGTCAGCTAGGAGCGGTTGCACAGCGCCAATGTCCAACCAGACCGCCGCGTGTAATGGCAGTCCGATTCGCGGATCTGCGCCGCGGGCAAGCAAGAAGGGGACCATGCTTGCACGAGAATAGCGGGCTGCGTCTGCAAGGGCTGAGCTACCGTCACGGTACTCCTCGTTAAGATTCGCCCCACGATCTAGCATCAACTGGACGAGCTCAGTATTTCTAGATAGCACCGCATAAGATAGTACCGGCTTTCCCTGGTCATCCCGCGCGCTCAGATCAAGACGTGGATGCTCGAGGAGCGAGCGGAATCGCACAATATCGCCCGCCATTGCAGCCTCCATAAGTGGCGTTGGCCACCCATCACCATTCGCTAAATTTGGATCAATGTCGGGGTGTGCTAGAAGGAGGCCTGTCATGCGCTGTCCCACTTCGTGATCCCTCATGATCACCGATATGTAGAGCGGGGTCATGCCACGATCCAAACTGGGCTGATTTACGTCCACACGCTCACAGGCTAACAATCTCTCCACGATCTCAAAATGGCCACCGTCGACAGCGCAGCACAGGGGCGTGTCCTTTACTCTGCTATTACCAACCGCATTGGGGTCAATGTCTGGGCTCTCTAACAGCGCTTCGACGGCCCCGAGGTGCCCTCTTCTACAAGCGAGTAGTAGTGCAGTTCCGAACGCGCTGGGGACGTTCGGGTCGGCGCCATGGTCCAGGAGGAGCTTGATGGCGTCTTTGGCACCGATATCTGCGGCTCTATGCAGCGCCCGCAGCCCCGTGGGTTTCACGGGCCCGTCAAATGTTGCCTCGACATCCGCGCCGTGCTCCAAAGCGCTTCGCATGGTGTCGAGACGATTTTTTTGTGCGCCCCAGTCTAACGCCATGCTGTTGTGGTGGGTTGCATTTTGGCGGTAGAGGTATGGTTTCCCGAGCGTGTACAGGTGCCGGTTTGTTTGGATGAGCGAGTTGATGTCGGCTCCTTTGGTGATACATCCTAGGATTTGCAGGAGTATCTCGTTTGGTAGGTTGAGTAGAGGCATTATTTGAGACGCTTTGGGGGTGCGATGAGGTCCCTTGTGGAGAGGCCACCTTGCGAACATGAGGGGCACATGGAACTAGCAGAAAAAGGTCGAACAGCACAGCCACCTGCACCCCTGCTTCTTCTGCAGCCCAATCACACATCCTCTGCACCATCCCCACGGCTGGACCTGGGTCTAGTTGCACTGCCACACCGTGTAACTTCAGGAAGACAAGAGTGGTTAAGTCCACGATGGCTTATGCCCGGTGGCTTATGTCCGTTACGGTACCCGGGTGGCTTTATCAGCCAAGCACATCACATCAGCCAACCCTAACACATGGCGGAGACGGCATCTGGAGTACACTATTTAGACCGTGGACAGAAAACCCATCCCTCGACTCTTTTCGGTCATCAATCTTCCTACTTCTCTACCTACATATAACGACACTGTTCGCCGAAACCAACCACCACAATGAACTTCACCAGAAGATCCGTCCCCTTCAACCCATCCACCGACATCCCCTCGCTACAAGGCAAAGTCATCCTTGTAACAGGCGGCAATATCGGACTAGGCAAGCAAACAGTCCTTGAATACGCAAAGCACAATCCGGCGCTGATCTGGCTCGCCGCACGGAATCCAACCAAAGCCCAAGCCGCCTTTGACGACATCAAGTCGCTTCTACCGAAGCCCTGCCCAACAACAATAAGACTCCTTGAGCTTGACCTCTCATCGCTGGAATCCGTCAAAAGCGCCGCAACAACCGTCCTCGCCGAATCAACACGCCTCGACATCCTCATGCTCAATGCAGGCATCATGGCCGTCCCGCCCGGCCTCACAAGCGACGGATACGAAATCCAATTTGGAACGAACTATCTAGGCCACATCCTCCTCGCACGCCTTCTCACGCCGCTCCTCGAGCGCACAGCATCTTCTTCTTCTTCTTCTTCTGCATCTGACCCTCCTTCCAACCCCCGCATAATCCTCCTCTCATCCTACGGCCACAACTTCACGCCCAAACCTCACGGAATCGTATTCTCCTCCCTCCGCACAGACGGCTCAGACCTAGGCCCCTACGCCCTCTACGGCCAGAGCAAATTGGCCCTGATCCTGTGGGGCAAGGAAGCTGCGAAGCGTTATCCAACTTTAACCATCGCGAGCGTGCACCCGGGCGTCGTGCAGACGAATCTGGCGAATGGGGCGACTGGGTCGCCGTGCTGGGTGCAGGTGCTTGGGAAGCTCGCGTACCATGTTCTTACGGGTGTGGAGCAAGGCGTGAGGAATCAGCTTTGGGCGTCGGTGAGTGCGGATGTTAAGTCGGGGGGTTATTATGTGCCCGTGGGCATTGAGGGGACGGAGAGTGTGTTGGCGAAGGATGAGGAGTTGGCGGGGGAGTTGTGGGCGTGGACGGAGGGGGAGATTGGACGGTTTTTGGGTTAGGGGACTGGGTTCGTGTATTTTTTATTATCTTCATTCGGATGCTGTATTGCATGGTGATGACATCAATCACACATTTAGACTAATGTACTCCGTATCCATCTATTCACTTTGGAGCAATAACTTAGAACTAACATATCCAAACCGATATCCTACTATCGCTCAACCACAGTTGATTCCTTCCCGAGACTACCCTTGGTAGATCACACACCCAACACTTCAGTATCAACTCATCCCGTCCCAACTGCTCAATCGCTCCCTTCACACTCCTATAAAGCGTTCCCTACGCCTGGAAGGGAACACCACTAGGCACCCCACTAGGCGCAGGCGGCGCACCAGACGGGAACTCCTCAGCACCCGGAGGCGGCGCACCCTCGCCAGCAAACTGGCGCTTCGCGCCCTCAACAGGACCGCTGGGAGTCGGTGCCGGAGGGGGCACTTCACCCTTCCCTTCGCCGCCAGAAGGAGAACCAGTAGGAGCAGGGCCCGGAGGGGGTCCAGAGGGCGTCGGCAGGCCCTCGACTTCGCCGCCGGGCGCGCCACCGAACTGGCGCTTCACGGCGACAGGGGAGCTGGGCGTAGGTGGCGGGGGAGGAAGGTCGGAGGCGCCCTCGGCCCAGCCTTGGCCGCCGGACGGAGGGGGGCCGGTGGGTACGGGGCCGCTGGATTCGAGGGGCGGGGGCGCCTGGCGGGCTTCGTTGTTGGCGAAGGGGATGGGGAGGGGGCTTCCCGAGGCGCCGGGGGGAGGCGGAGGCGGGGCGCTGCCGGATGGTGCTGGGAGACCGCCTGCGGTTGGGGTAGGGGCTTGAGCCTGGCCCTCGCCGCCGGGGCCTTCGAACTGGCTGGGGGCCTGGGGTGCGGCGAGGGCGGAGCCCAGGAGGGCGATGGAGGCGACGGCGGAGAGTCTCATTGTGATGTTTGTTTGGTGTATGGATTGATCGGTGTATAGAGGGAGCTTGGTTGTTTTCGAACTGGGAGTATGCTGACACCAGTCTTCGAGAGATGAAGACCTCTTTATAGCTGGGCTCTCTTTGCTCACTCAGTCACAATTGCCCCCGAGTACTCCGTAATCGTGCGATGAGCGCATCGTGGCGTGTCCCCCATCCGAACCTGAGCCGCGAATTGTCACAGAATCCCAGCTCCAGCCATTCTAAACCCGTACTGGGCCTTCTCAAGCAGATCAGCGCAGATCATTGATTGATAAGATGGCGCCGGCCCGCCTGACGTAGGTACGCGTACTTGGTCTTCGCAAGCTTAATGGGCTAGATCCATCCGCTCCCCAGCCCCCAGGTCCATGAAGATGTTTCATATACGCAAGGCTGGGAGCGATGAGAGATGGATGATGTGATATCATCATGCTTGCGCAAGTAAGCAGTTAATTGCTCTGCTCAGGCTTTGGGTAACTTCAAGCCATCGTCCCGCGCCTGTGGAGACGGATCTTCACGGCTTATGTCTGCGTACCCACAGTGTCAACCACCTTAATTCCGACATCCAGCTTGAGGTCACCAGGTCCCCAGAACGAGGGATACTGCATGTTGAAGGTACAATATCTTACTTTGATTGTCATTGCTGTGACTTTAGAAACAGACTATATAAGAGTCCTCGGCGTAAATTGGTGAGAAAGATAGTGAGAGCAGGATATATGGGGATGGCTTACATTGTGACTACTGAACGTTAGATGTCAGTGCCGACGAAATACATGCTGAAGAAGATACTAGATCTGGTTTCCCTAGTCCAAAGGTAATTTGCACAGTGAGAGTATCCTACCTGGCTGATAGATGTTTGCAGCTTTCATCAGAGGACAAGAAGTCCATCCTCCTTTCCACATGCCGACTCCAACCAAGTCATTTCTTCTCCAAGCAGGGCAAAGCTGAGCTTTGCAGCATTCACAGGTAGGCCAATAATTGCTCCAGCCGTTCTTTCCCTACAGTGTTCGGTTCGAGCCAGATTCCTACAAGTCGCACTCCTTTCTCAAAGAATCACAGGCGTCACAGTGTTCATGGGTTCCTGCCCCGTACGAAACCAAGAGTCTGGCAAGATCCTGCCCCGCCTCAGTGTTCTCCTTCCCCTGGTTCGTACTTTGCAAAACCATACACACCAAGTCCCCACTTCCGCGATCCTCATTTCTCACGATCTCACCACCAAGAACTCGAATTAGTTCCTCCGCTGCCCCGTTGCGTTTGCATGTCGCAGCCCGTAGAGCCACGCCAAACGGCGTGAGCCCCTGGCTGTTCCTTCTATGCGGAGAGCAGCCAGCGTTAATTAGGACTTCGATGGCCGATACAAAGCCACAGGCAGCTGCGAGGTGTAACGCGGTTCCGATGGACGGATGACTATCATCGACAGGGCAGCCGGCATGGATTATGGCCTGCACGGTTTGTACTTCTGTTTCCCTTGACCTGACGGCCAGGTGCAAGGCGTTGTAGCCATTATGATCCGTTGCATGGACATCCGCCCCATTGCGAAGGAGCAACTCCACGGATGAGGCGTTCCCGGATGCAATTGCGGCGAAGAGGGGTGTCTTGAGTTTGTTCTCCTCCGTGTAAGTGATGTTGACAGCGGGGTCATTAGGTCTCTTCCTTAACAGGAGAGAGAGGAATCCATGCCACGGCGACCGCGCCGCCAGGTAGAGAGGAGTCTGGCCATTTTCATTTTGGTGGGAGATGCTCACCCCGTGATCCAGGAGGATAGTGATCATTTCACGAACATTGGCGAAGCGGTGTTCATAGACGTGATTAGGGTCAGGAGAAGAATCTCGAAATACGGCGGGACCGGTGCGACAGAGCTGGGGTTCTAGGTCGCTTTGGAGGTCCTCGTAGAGCTGTGGCCAGAAATTCTCAATATAGTCTGGGCGGTCGTTGGGTGGTCGAATGCGATTATGGGAGAGAAGCTCGTGGTCACACAGGTAATGCATTGAAGTAGAACCGTCGGTTGCGATAGCTCCCAAGGCAGACTCGTTCGCTCGGACAAGCAAATTCAACAGAACGAGTTGACATTCAAACAGATAATCTGACTTTTGGACACACCTCCAGAGCTGACTGTTTATATGGCCCTCCGGCCATATGTGCGGGTCAATCTGCAGCAAGAAGGCCGCGACCTTGAGCCAGTCAGGTTGACTCTCAGCCCGGTATTCTTCCATATTCCTAGAGCAATGTTTTCGGCCCAGTTCCTCAATAGTCTCGAGGGCTGTTTTCCCTTCGCGATTTGGGGCAAAGAGGTTGACACCGCTGTCGATAAGTACTTGGACAAAGTCGGCAGCACCTGAATGAAAGCCTTGACAATGAAAAAAGACACGGTGCGCTAGGTGCAGCTTCCAGTCCCACGGGCTTTTCTGGCCCTCCGTCTGCAGCATCATGTCCAATAATCTGTTTGCTACCTCGGGCCTGTCCGGCAACTGGCGAAGCGCCTTTTCAACGGGCAATAACGGCTGACGGTTGGCACCTTCAGTCATTGCCCAGACATCTGCCCCGAAGTCGAGAAGTAGGTCGACGTATTCCAGTGATTGATATTCAGCGGCTGAGTGTAACGGGGAGAGACCTTGAGCATTGAAATATCTAACATTTGATCCTGCATTGAGCAAAATCCGAGCTATTTGCGTATCATCATCGTGAATCGCCAGTTCCAAATGATTCGGTAATGTGTCCGACGAGCCCCCATCACGATCAAGGTACGTCTCTCGAAATTCCTGGTCGTCGAGAAGTAACTCCAGCATCTTCGCGCTCGACACCCTGATGAGGGCCTCCAGCAGGGACACTTTTTTGTACACTCCATTGACAAGCGTATAAACAAAGTCAGGCCAGAAGCGTTCGTGACTTCTGCTTCGAAGATAATCCGCAAGATGCTGTGACTCCCAAACGCGACTCGTCCACCAAATCCTGCTTGTACGCATTCTTGTTATTTTTCGGAATTGTGCGTCCTGTTTTTCTTTCTCGCGACGAGTGGGAGTGAAGTTGAAAGCATGATCCAACAGGACAGGCGTTAGCACAGCGGCGTGCCGTTTCGATGTTCGGATCCAGGCAAGGAAGTCTTTAACGTTTGGGTCAGACGAAAGCGAAAGCGAGTTGTCCTCGGGGGAAGACGAACAATATCGATTTATATTGAAGTCAAGGTCAAAGAAGCTGCTGATATGCAGGATGATCTCATTTGGCAAGTCCGAATAAGGCATCTTGGAAGCGGGCGATGAATGCAAAAGGGAGAGGTAACGAGTGAAGTTGTTGACAGCAAGTGGGATGTGAGGAAGATGGAAGGGGGAAGTGTTGTGTTAGTGGGCGAAGGTCGTCCTCAGAGGAAATCAGCGCACCCAGGCAACCTTGACACCTTCCCGTCTGGCTGATAGAACTCTCTCATCTCCTTATGCACTTCTCTCCCGTTGAATTATTGCAGGCTATCCACTAAAGATCAAGCGTCATATCATGGACTACCTACAAAGGCACCTCTCTAGCTTCGGGTATGGAGAACTCGGAACGTAGACGTATTGGATTTTGCGGTCATAACCCCTTTCAGGAATGTTGTCTTCTAACTAGGTACACAGATGATGCACATAGAAGACTTTCATCCCAATGGAACACATGATACATAGTCGAGACGTTGTCAAGGCCCGTTCAAACTCCAATATCCACCAGGACGCCCAAGTGCTGCTCTCAAGTAGTCAGACGGGGACTTATTCCTCCTCATCGTCTCTAAATGAGAACTTCACCATGCATCTTCCTCTTCCAGGCCATTTTCTGAGGTATCTCCGTAGTCTAAAGGTACGCCAGACACCATTTTGCAGGCATCACATCCATGATGAACCGTTGCGCCAGTCTCAATCAATGTTTTGGCCAAATCCCAATTCGGCCACTTGCCTTGCATTACCATGCAAACCAGGTCTCCGGTCCCGTCGTCCTCAAAGTCCACCAGTCCTTTCGCGATCTGTCGGCGTGCGAGGTAAGTTAGTGTACGTTGGGGTTCCGGGTCCTGAGCGCCAGTGAACCGCTGTCCCCTGGGCTTTGTTCAGTCCGCTTTCGGCTGATAGGCATATTTCCTCCCGTCCGGCCTCTCTTCCACCGAGTCTGCCTCCGTTTCGACAGCGATCGGCGGCGCTAGGCCAACCGGATCGTCCGGGTCCAGCTCTTCGTCAGGTACATCGGCCGCTCCAGATAGAGCCACCAGGCGATTGAGAGCCCATTTCATTTCCAGCAAGTCCTCGGAAGGAAGAGGCCATGCGTCTTTTCCAGAGGGCCTCTCAGTCGTCCAAACTAAGCGATCTCCTGACGTTAAAATGCGAGATGACTCGCAGTCATGAAGCCTTGACCCTAGGTTAGACCTTTGCAGGCCGATGGGATTGGTTGGCGCTGTTCGTAGGTTTCTCAGCCCGTGCTCGTGTTTGTAGAGCCAGTGGAATTCAACGGTCATTGCTGATCCATCCGGCTCCCTTTGTTTAAATTTGAACCCTATCTTTCCGTCATCCCACATTTGGTGGACATGGCTGCATAAACACAGGAGATTCGGAAGAATCTCTGTGCTGTCCGGACCCGAGATCGCCGTCTCCCAAGCTTCTATCTTTTCTTTCGGGTAGAATTCCGCCAGGCGACCCCACCAGAGTTCATGCTCCCTTGTAGCCGAGTTTTCACTAATTGTGGATGGATATATATGTGCTTTGTGCACGCAATCCGCCAACCCAGTAACGAGACATTTTTCCTTGTCCCGCTTGCCGCACTGTCTCTGTCAGTGCTAAGCTAGCTAGAATTATATGGGGCCTGAGACTTACATTGTTGACAGCGGCACTCGAGCGGGTATGTTCTGGTTGAACCGGGCTGTCTAATGCGGGGGCCAAAACGGCTGGAGCCAGCTGATTCGACACGGATTCATCGAGGCGGGGTGCTTTTGGTGAACCTTTGTCCTTTGGGGCAGCAGTCGCTGCCTTCCGCTTGGTGCTCTTTGACTTCTTCAGCTCGCCCTCCGCCGGCACTGCGTCCACAGCTACCGAGTCCTTCATGGGCAAGCGGGCCGTCCCTAGAGCAGAATTTACATCAGGACTCACTTCTTTTGAATTCAAAGTGTTCTAGACTTACAGTACTTCAGGGCTCTGGTCCATTTCGTGGACTGGACAACATCACATTGAGTAACCTCTGAATAGTTGACGAAGACTTCTACCCACTTTCTCAACTTTTTCACGGGGGCCAGCCACATAAAAGCCCAGAAACCCGAGTCCACGGGCAGGTCTTTTATCGCATCAGCGACCTTGTTGACGAGTGTAGTCCGTTCGTCATCAGAGATTTCATCATAGGCTGACTTGGGGCCATCGTCTTCGATTGGGTCCACTGCGCAAGACATTGCAGCAAAGAACGAGGCTGCATATGCGAGATGTGTTAGTAGGTAATGTCTCCACCAGAAATCACCACTTCCCTCAGTACGTTTGCAAATATTGGGTGGAATAGGTAGATAGTTATCAAAGCACTTACCTTTATATCCCTGACGTGACAGAAAAGAGGTCTTTCTTGATAACTATTCGCTAGAGATTTTCCAAAGGGGTGGACAAAGGTTTCTGAAGGGCTCTGCTCGAAGTCTTGCAGGATGTAGAGCGAGGGGGGGTGAGAAGGGGTAGAAAAGAGATAAGTGGAGACGATGAGCACGGCAAAACCTCTGGGTTAAAGGGGCAGTGAAGCAGACACTGGTGAAAAAAAGGCAAGGAAAGGAGAAAGTGAAGTGAAGCTTAATAGCAGAGAGAGGAAACCTATTACAGTACCGTACCTATGCTTTGGTATTGTCAGGGTATGAGGCCCTTTGTATACCGTACTAACTAGTAAAGCTATTAATTAAATATTATAAAAAAAAATAATAAAAAAAAATAAGTTATTTATTAAAAGCTAGAGTTACCTAGGGGTTTATATAAATATTTTAAGCTTTTAAAAATTTATTAATAGCCTAATTTTTTTATTAAAATAATAAAATATTAAGTACCTTACTTTTTTATACTAATATAGCATGTAAAAATATTAATAAATAAAAACTTTATTAAAATAAAAAATTTTTACCTTTAGCTAACATACCCCCTTAATACCTACTAAATACTAAAAATAAGGTTAAAAATATTTACTAAACTAAGTATCTTAATAAATTTATAATATTATTATTTAGTAAATAGCTTGGTAAGGCTATTTATAATTATTTAATTTATAAAAATTTATTTAATTTTAAAACTTTCATGTTAAATTTTTTATTAAAGCTATAAGTTATAAATATTAATATATTAAAGTTTTAATTATAACTAGATATTAAAACTAGTAAAAATATTAATAATTTATTTATTATTATATTAAACTAAAAAATAATAGTAAAAATTAAATTATATTAAATTAAAAACCTAGTACTACTAGTAAGTTACTTTAAAAACTTTAAATAAAGCTAGTAATTTTACCTTAATTATTACAGTTATAATTAAATATTATTTTATAATTTTTTATTTAATTAAACTATTATATAGCTTGTAAATATAGCCTATATTAAAAAATAATTAAATTAATTAATAAAGACTATATTAAAGTAGGCCTTATAAAAATTATATATTTTTAAAATAAGCTTATTTTTAAAGCTATTTAAACTAAAGTATTTAAGGGCTAAAAAGCATGTATTATAAAAATAAAAAATAAGTTAATTTACTATATATTAATAATAATTTACTAGATTAACCAGGTGTTTTAATAGTTAATTAATAATATAAAAAATATTTAAATAAATAAGTATGCTTATATATTTAACTAAGCTAACTTTAAACCTTATTTTTTAATTTATTAAGGTATAGCAGTACCAAAGTTTAAATAAAGCTTATTAAAAAAAGTATTTTTAAAGGTTAAATTATTATATTTAAGTAAAATTAATTTATAATTATTTTAATATAAAAGTTTTAATATAGCTAAACCTTACGCTTTTTTTTATTTTAAATAATTTAAATTTTTAAAAACTATTTTACTTTATTAAAATATTAAAGCTTATACTTTACTATTAGTTTTTTTTTAAAGGTAGCTATAGCAGCTTAGCCTTTTTTAATAAAAAAGTTTATAATAATCATATTATTTATATAAATAAAAAAAATTATAAACTTACTAATATAAAAGCACTTTTTTTTAAAAATTATAATAAATTTAAATTTTTATAGTATTATAGCTAAATTAAGTTACTAAAAATATAAAAACTTTTAAAATTTATAAATAGCCTTAAGGGCCTTTAATAACTTATCTTATTACTTATAGTTATTTAAAAAGTAAAAATATATTACCTTTTTAAGGGTAGTATTAAAAAACATGTTAATAATATTTTTTTAATTAAAATTAAGGTTAAAAGTAATTATAAATACTATAAAAGTTTTAAAAGCCCTTACTAAGGTAGTTACTACTTAATTTTTTTTAAAAAATTTTAGTTTTAAATCTTTATATATATAAATTCAGGCTTTAGCCTTAATAAAGTAATTATTAGTATTAAATTTATAGGTAAAAACTTATAATAAAAAAATTAGCTTATTTATTCCTGCCTTTTATTTATTTATTACTTTTTATACTTTTATTTTATAAAAAGCTTTTAATTTAAAATTTATAGCTTTTGAAAAATTATTATAAAGTAAATAATTTTTAAAATTACTTTAGTGCTTAAAAAAAAATTATTTTAATAAAGGCGTTTTTTTACAGGGTTTTAATAAAAAGTAAAAAAGGTAAATTAAATATAATTAAGATTATTTAAATTATTTAAGAAAGCTTTATTTAAGTTTAAATTATATATATAGTTATTAATATTATATTATTTAAGCCTGCACCTAGTTATCCTAAAAAAAGTTAAAGTTATTAAAATTTTATTTTTAAGCACGCTAAGCCCAAAGACTAAGTAAAAAAAAAAAAAAGTTAGGCATGCTTATTTATTTTTTTAAGTAATTATTTACTAGCTAAATTAATAAAAGGATATTAAGGTGCTTAAGGGTATAAAATTTATTATTAAAAAATTTTTAAATAGGCTTTTAAAGCTATTTATAAGGCCAAGTTTTATATAAGCCTTTTATAATATTAAGGTTTAAAAGTTAGCTTTAAAATTAATAAGTATAAAAACTTATTTAATTAATTAAAGGCCTTTTTTTTACTAGTAGTATTTTTAATTTTACTAGTAGTATTTTAAGCCTTATTTTTTACTTTATACTTACTACTATTATTAATACCTTTTTTTTAAAAATCTTTACCACCCGTGGCCTATTCTTGTTTAAAATATTTTTATTTTTTTTATTTAAAGAATTTACTAAAGTTAAGGTTTAGGTTAATCTTTTTAGTTTTATAGTTTTAAAAAAAAATATTAAAAACTTGGGCTAAAGGCTCTGGTAACTTAATTTTAATATTAATAATAAAAAAAAGATCCTTTAAATTATATAATTTAAATTTATTAAAAATAATATTTTTACAGGCATAAATAACCTATTTTTTAAAAAACTAAATTTACTAAATATTTAAAGTAATATAGCTAAGTAAGTATCTTAATAAAGCCTTTAGTTTTATTTTATAAAAACTTTTTTTAGGCTTATTTTACCCAAGCAAAATAACCTAGTATTTTAATATTAAAAATATAGGGTTTTTTACTAATAAATACTTTTTATAATATTTTTTAATTTAATAACTTAATAAAAATTTAATTATTAATATAAGCTATAGCTTTTATAACCCAGGGCCATATATTAAAAAGGATTTTTTTATAAAAAGCTATTATTCTTACTTTTTTAATTAATATATTACTAAAGTACTTAGCTATACCATTTTAAAAAAAGTATAAAAAGTAAACTAGTTTTAAAGTATACCTTAAAATATAATAAAGTTAAAAATATTATTACTAAGTATAAGCTTATAATTATTAAAAAAAACCTTAAAAGTAGTATTAAACTAGGTTTAAATAAGCTTAATATATTACTTAATAATATTTTTATACTTACTTTTTTTTAATAAACATAGGCCTAGTAAAACTTAGTATTTTTATTATAAAAATAAATTACTTACTTTTTTTTATTTATTACTTTTTTTATAAAAATTAGGTTAAAGTAAACTTAATTAAATAATATAATAATAGGATTTTTAAGCCTTTTAAATATTTATTAAGGGGCTTATTTATATTTACAAGTATTATATTATTAAGGTAGTTAAAAACTAGTAATTTAAACTTTTTTAATTATAATAAGTAAGTATTAAAATACTTTATTATTAATATAACCTAGGCGCTAGTAAAAGGCTTTAAAAAAATTTTTAATATAAATTTTTTAAGTTAAGGTTTTAACTTTTTATTAAGTTAATATATTAGCTTTTTTAAGGCTTTAAGTTCTTTTTAAACTTAACTATTTAAAGGCTAGATAAATAATCTTTAAAATAAAATACTAGTTTATTATTTTTAATAATTAAAGTATTAAAATCCTAAAAATATTTAGCCTTTTTAAAAGGCCTAGTTACTAAAATATTAATATAAAAGCTAGGTATAAAAACTACTTTACTAAAAGTAAAAAATATTATTTTATTATTTAAAGCCTTAGGATAAAAAAGTATTAATTTTATATTTTAAATAATAATAATTATATTTCCTACTTAAATATTACCTTTTTTTAATTAATTAAAAAAGGTAAAATAATTAAAATTATTATAAATATAAATAAAGGCACCAGTATTAAAAATAAAGGTATTTTAAAGTATTAAATTACTTTAAATACTTATAACAAGTATATAATTATAATATTTTTTTTACCATGGCCTAAGTAATTAAAAAAGCTTTTTAAGCTTTTTTTTAACTTTTTTTTATTTTTAAAAATTTATTTATTCTTAGCCCTTATTTTTTAAAGTTTTTTATTATATTTATTATTTTTATTAAAAGCTTTATTAACCTTTTTATTTATTTTTTTTAGGTTTATACCATGGCTTTTTATATAATTATATAAAGTATTAATATTATTTTATTACTTAAAAATAGCCACATGGATAAAAAGGCTTATTATTAATAAATATTATTTTAAAAAAAAATATTTAATTTTTTATTAAAAGTTGCAAAGGCCACTACTTTAATAAACTTTTTAAAAAAGTTATTAATTATAAAAAGGTATTATTAATATTTAAATATAAACTTAAGGTAAAAAACTAAATTAATACCTTTTTAATTTAATTAGTTAGTATTTTATTTTATATAAAAATTTAAATACTTGCTAATTATTTGCAGGAAGGTTATATTAGCTATTTTATTTTTTAATTTAGGTTAATTAAGGTATTTAATTTTTAGTAAGTATTTTTATAGTTTTAAAGCTAATTATTAATCTTACCTTATTAAATTAAAATATTTAAGGCTATAAAATAGTTACTAAATACCTTTAGTTTAATTTTAAGATTAGTTAAAGTAAATTATTATTTTAATTTAACTAAAATTTTTATAATAAGTTTATTTTTAATAAGTTATTAAATAAAAATAATAATAATTTTTTAAATAGCTTTATTTATTTTTTAAATTTTCATATAATAGTACTTAGTATTAAGCTAGTATTTATTATATATTTTAAATACCTTTTTAGTTATATTTTTAAAAGGTAACTTAAAAAAGGAAGGGATCTTTTTTTTAGGAATATTTAGGTTAAAAAACTTTTAAACTTTAATTATTTAAGTAAAGTAAAAAATTTAGCTATACTAAGCTAGTTAGTTATTTTTAAATTTAAAAATAATTTTTATACTTATAATATTATTAATAAAGCTTATAATAATTTTTAAATTAAGTATAAAAGTTAAAAATTAATTAATATTTATTTTAATTTAATAAAAAAATAATTAATTATAAAGGGCTTGGTATAGCTTTAAAATATATATTTAAAAGTATAAATAATTTTAAAATATTTAAAAAAGGTAAAAATTTAATAAGCTAAATTATTAAATTAATATTTAGGCTTATAATTATAAGGCCCTTTATATATTATATTAACTAGTAAAACTATTAATTAAATACTATAAAAAAAAATAAAAAAAAATAAGTTATTTATTAAAAGCTAAAGCTACCTAGGGGTTTGTATAAATATTTTAAGTTTTTAAAAATTTATTAATAGCCTAATTTTTTTATTAAAATAATAAGGTGTTAAGCGCCTTACTTTTTTATACTAACGCGGCATGTGGAGGCGTTGACAAATAAGAACTCTACTAAAATAAGAGATCTCCACCTTTGGCTGACACAGGGAAGACGGTCTAGACTGGCAGTACGATACCTAAACTACAAACGGAGGTCTGAGGCCTGTATATTTGATCTCCTGGCCCATTGGATAATGGATATCAACGGTGTCCCCCGGCGACCGAGATCTCGAATTTTTAGGTACGTCCGGCCACGATGATTAGATCCTGCCGAAAGACGGCGATTCAATCATGTCGGGAATCTTGCAGCAACCCACCACACTAGCGCGCCCAGAATCCTCGATCGATCCACCTCTTCCTTCAGCAGACAGGATTATCAGATGGTAACTTCATTTACTAAGAAGGTGTACGTCGCGAGGTCAATGCCTTACTACAGACGGGTCTGCTACGGTTCTGAGCTAGGAGACGACAACGATGAATATTCTTGTCATTTGGCATTTTGGATGGTGCGTTACGTACAACTAGAATATTTATTTGGGGCCTTAAAAACGCCTTCCTATCTCTGAGATAATATCCTGTTACCTTGCGCTACTGGGGCCCTACTTTTGATGAGCCAAGCCATGGTTTCCAGGATTGGCGCAGCTCTCCCCTTGCTTGAGGTCATCCTTCGATGTAGTAGTTAGTCAAGAACTCAGGCCTTCTAGCTTGAGAGGCGGCAGTGTTTCCTCCCCACAGCACATGTTGGACACTGATCATGAACCGCCGCTCCGTTGGCCACCAAAAGTCTTGCAGCCTTCTTAGCACTGTTCTTCGAACAGCCTGCCCAAGTTTCCCAATTTACACCCAACAAGGCGCAAACCAAACTGCCACTCCCCTGATCGTCGGCCTCCACAAGTTTCCTCCCTTCACGACGCACAAGTTCGTGTAGTATGCTGAATTTACCGCAGGCGGCGGCTAAGCGCAACGCTGTCCGTCCATCCGAGTTTGTCACGAAAGGAGAGCATCCGGCGTCAAGAAGAGCCCTGACTCCTCGGATGAAGCCGTATGTAATAGCTATATGCAGGGCACTTCCATCGCTTGAATGTATAGGGGAGAGGTCGCACCCAGCTTGGATCAACCAGTGTAGTATCTTGCTCTTCGCAGTCGCAGCAATGTGTACCACGCTGGACCCCCGGTTGTCGATGGCATTAAGGTCAGCTCCGTTGTCGATGAGAAGCTTGACTAACTCTGTATTCCCGCGTCCCACGACAACGCGAAGGGGGGTCTCTCCTCTAGTTTCTGCTGTATTGACTGCCGGGTCCATCGGTCTTTTGCGGAGGAGGAGGGCGAGGAATTGCGGCCAGGGCGAACGAGCTGCTAGGAAAAGAGGAGTCTGACCTTTCGAGTTCTGCGCTGAGATACTGGCCCCATTGTCGAGAAGCAGAGCTATCATCCGAAGTGTATTTTTGAAGCGTCCTTTGTAGTTGTAGCTGTCAAGCCCGCTCATGAAGCTGGGGTCGCAGAGGTAATGGAGGGGAGTGTTGCCGTCGTTTCCAACTGCAGTCAATGCCGAACCCCCAGACTTCAACAGGAGGTCGAACAGTATAAGATGACACTTTAACACCGGCCCTTCTTGCACATGCTTCCATAGCTGTCGGTTGATATGACCCTTTGGCCAGATACGAGGATTTGTCTGAAACAGCCTGGTTGCGAGTTCACGCCCTTGAGCTTTAACTTCGCTGAGACCCCATCCATCATCGAAATACGGTCTCCAGTGTCCTATCAAGCCCAGTGCAGTGTCCCGCTCGCAAGTCGATGTAAATATGTCCGCGCCGTTTTTAAGGAGGGTCTGAACCAGCCCAGTAACATTGGAGTTAACCTTCCCAAGGGCGAAAAGCAAGATACTGTATTTCCAGTTTCCTTTTGAGGCTTGGTCCGCCGTCGCTAGCATGACTTCCAGTAGTCGCTCTGCTCTCTGAAGATCAAACGACTTTAGCGCGCAGTGAATCGGCAAAGGTGTATGAGAACCATTAGCAGTCGCCCAGACATCCGCTCCAGCTGCAAGGAGTATTTCGAGAATTTCCACGGTCTCGCACCGGTATTCTTGCCAGCGCCGAGAGGCGTCAACAATTGCTGCATGATGCAGTGCTGAGTAACCTAGATGGTCTCTGTGTGTGAGACTTGCGCGGGCACCGAGTAGTAGTTGGACTGCCCTTTTGTCAATAATCTCAATCGCTACCCTCAAGGGTGTGTACTGGGCTAAGTCGGAGGGCTCAAGCTGCGTTTTGCGAATGTCTTCCTGGGAAAGTAGAATTTTCAGCAACCCGTGGTCCTTAGCGTGGACCATCGCTGCTAGTATTGACAATCTTTCAGGATCGTATCCTGCGCAAGGGAACCATTTGTCGGTCCTACTCAGGAAGTAATCGGTGATTTGCTTCGACTCCCAAACCTGTCCTACCGCCCAAATCCTCCTGCTGTTCTTGAGCATTGCTCTTGAACGAAATGAGACCAGTGCTGTATCTGCCGTATTCTGCATTGGAGTAAACCCAGATGCGCTCTCGTCTAGAGCTGGGGCTGTGTTGGCCGTACTCTGCTCTACAGTAAACCCAAATGCGCTCTCGTCTAGAGCTGGTGCTGTGTTGGCCGTACTCTGCTCTACAGTAAACCCAAATGCGCTGTCGTATAGGACGGGGGTGAGAACCGATGCGTGCCATTTCGAGGTCTGTATCCAGTTGCTCAAGGATTTGACATCAGCATGATAGGTGGACGGTCCCCAATTGTCAGGTTGAACGTCAAAGTCCAGGTCGAAAAACGATGCGATGTTGAGAATTATCTCAACAGGTAAATCTGCGTACGGCATCTTTCTGCGGATTGTCGAGATTCAGGGGGATGCTAGAAGCAGAGAGTGGGATGGGAGAGAGGAGTGCTAGTGGGAGTTGCGGGAGTTAAGAAAGGAAGACTCCTTGTCCTTGGAAAAAGTAGCGCACCTGTCATGGTAACCTTCACACCCGGGACCTTTGCTTCGACGTCTGACTCCCTTCTCGCTCTAACGATGATTCAGTCTTAATCCACTGTCATGGTAATCACGCAGTATCAAGTTGCGACTGGCTTCCTGGCACCCTGGTTTGTATTTAGATTGTTGTTTCGCACTACGGGGTGGGTTATTCATAAGATTTGTTGGATTATGGGTAAGATATATTGGAGTGACCTTCGACTTATCCAATGGATACGCTACAGCTCTCAGCTTCAGGATGGAGCTGGAGAACACTGTTCGCTATCTGACATCCAAAATAAAGCATTCCGTACAGAACAGCCAACTCTCAGCGGTACAAGTGGAAGGTTTCAACTTCAGCTTCGACAGGTTCAATAACTCCTTTCAGTTGCACCTTGGCACTACCTCTTCTCCTAACAGCCAGGTCCGGGATTTCCTTTTGGGGCCGAGCCACACTCTTTTTGTCGATGCTTCATCCTTCGTCTTCATCTTCAACCGGGCCCCAGACACCTTCACCTGACTGTAAGCGGCCGCGCACATCACGCTGCCAACCAAGTCTTCGCCCCTGGGCTAATAAAAAATTAACGAGTCTTCGCTTCCCACCTCTTGAGTCAGTATCAACTGATGGACCCTTGGCCGGAGGAGGGATAGCTGGGAGGGGCTCGTCGGGTCCATTTCGAAGGAGCACACGGATAAGTCTCGGCCACTTGCACATGTCTGCCAGGTGGAGGGGGGTTAGATATTCTGAGTTTTCCGCGTATACGTTGGCCCCGCAATCTAATAGAAGGGTGATCATTTGAAGGACATTTTGGAGATCTTCGTCTTTGTCTGGAGCCATGGGACTAAGGTCACAAAGATAATGGAGCGCTGTGGACCTATCCCAATCAACAAATTCCATTGCGGACTCTCCATATCGGATCAGATTTGCGAATAAGCTGATGTGGCTCGGTAAAACTGGTCCTTTTCGCGAGGCTTCCCACAATCGGCGATTAATGTGGCCCTGCGGCCAAAGGTGAGGATCCGCCTGAAGTAAGGCAGCGGCAAGCTCTTGTCCTCTAAATGCAGCACGCTCCGAGGACTCGTCTGACCTTGTAGTGAGGTGAAGGTCAACCAAGTCCATGGCCGACATCCCCTTGGTATCCTTGGCAAAAATATCCACACCGTCTTCAACAAGGATTCGAGATACCCCAGCGAGTTCGCAGTCGTGGTTCCTTGCCTTGTCGAGGGCGTAACGCAGCAGATCGAGTTTCCAATCCACCGCCGAGGTTTGATGTTCCGTTTCCAGCATTACCTTCAAAAGTGTCTCTGCGATTGAACCTGCTGCCGGCTGTCCAGTCACCATGAGAGCAGAATGGATTGGGTATATATCATTAGGAAGATCCCCCTTCGCCCAGACATTTGCCCCTGCTGTAATAAGAGCCTCAACAACCTCCATAGAGATGCTCTGAGCTGCTGCGTAGTGCAATGGTGAGTGCCCTAGAACCCCAACTCTGTCATTCACATCCAGCCCTGCCGCAATAAGAGCCTCCACAATTTGGATGGAACAGCCCTTAGCCGCTGCGTGGTGCAGCAGTGAGTATCCTTGATCGCGGTCTCTGATATTGACAGGAGCGCCTGCTGCTAGGAGAGCATGAAAGAGTTCCAATGGGACGCCCATAGTAAGTGCGTGGTGCAGCAGTGAGTATCCATGATCGCTGTCTCTGATCTCGACAGTAGCGCCAGCTGCTAGAAGAGCATCAAAAAGTTGCCATGAGACGCCCATAGTAAGCGCTTGACGCAGCAGTGAGTATTCTAGGACAGTCTCACTGCGACCAAGATCTGCACCCGACCCTAGTAGCACCCTGGTTGTGTCTAAATCGTCGTTGTTAGTCGCTATACTCAAGGTCGTGCGGAGGTCCGGGTTGGCGGGCTGGATGTACTTCTTTCTGACACTGTCCTGAGCAAGCAAAGTCGTCAGCATGTAGTGAGCCTTCACTTTGACTAGCATAGCCAATATAGTGGCTCTGGGGGGAACATCGGGCAAGTTTGCACGGTAATTCAAGTAATTATCCCATTTGATAACACGGTAGTCGGCGAACAACCGGTCGACCCTGGCCAGGAAGTATTCGGTGAGTGACGCTGACATCCACGCAGGTGCATTCTCCCAGATTATCCTAAGACGTCGGTCTGCATTTCCCCACCAGAGGCGTGATTTTGTGGTCAGATCCCGCTTTTGCAGTTCTGGCGTCAAGCGGAGTGCGTGGTCATACAGGATGGGAGTTAGGATTGTGGCGTGGGACTTGGATGTTTGCAGCCAGGCGATAAAGTGCCTGCCGTCATTCTTTCGCCAGTAGGGGTTTGGATAAAAGTCGAGGTTGAAGAAGGAGGCAATGTGGCGGATAATCTCAGGAGGCAAGTCTGAGTACGGCATTGTGCTCTCCAAGGTTAGAGAGATCCAAAGACAGAGGAGAGGTCACGAGCAAGGCTAAGTCCTAAAGGTGTTAAATGTTAGTTCTTTATCCGCTGGAAATAACCACTGCCTCAGCACGTCCGCAGATCCTGGGTAGATAGAATAGGTGGGTACTTGTCAAAACACTCACAAACCCTAACACGATAGCAAAGAGGTCTTAATGACCATTCGGGGGAGAATTCCCTGGAGGGTGGACGAAAGAGGATTCTGAAGGGCTGGGCCCGAAGTATTGCAAGATGCGGAGAGAAGAGATTCAAAAGGATGGATAGCAGAGAGAGGACTAGATAGAGTGAACACGGTAAGAACATTCAAGAGGAGTAGTTGAAAGGGGCAGTGGAAAAGACACGGAAGCAAGGGGCGAGACCGATCCATGGAGGGGGATAAAAGAGAAATACGAGTAAGAAGAGATCTGATGCATCATGTACATGTTAGTGCCACAAGATTACCTATGATTTGCTACCCCGTTCTGCAGTCAGCACAGGTTCAGGAATTGGAAAAAATACCTCACCAGTGTAGTTGATCCCCGGTCCTAATCACAATTTTCTCCTCTACCAGCCCGAATCCACGATAACTTGAAGTGTTTAGGGTTCAAATTGCTACCTATTGGGTGTACAGTCTAGGCGAGGCGCCGCCGCTTACTTCACTTCAACTTCGGTGTCTGGAATGGAGCTGTATCCGACGTCTAGCCTCACTCCGGCCCTGGGCATGTCTGTCCTTAGTCACCAACCAGCTTGATCGAGCGCCATCTAATCCGTCCTTTCCGCAGGTATAGACTGCCCGTAGCACCCATCCATTACTTTTAACCACGCGGGTATTCTTTATTCTTTCAATCAACGAAGAGCCAAAGCCAGAACCGAACTCCGAGTCGGGGAGATGCCAATAATCCGTCTGTGATGTCCGAAATCGACGCTTAACTGAGGAGGACGAGGATGACGCTATCGCCTCGAAGGAACCTGAACATCGCCGGTATCAGTATTGAATCCTCTCAAAGTCAAGGGAGGCGCCGGTACATCTTGCTGATGAATCGGTCCTTGTTGACCGGTCGTCCCTTTCCTCCCTTCTGGGGCTCGGTCCACATCTCTTTCTGTTTCGAGTTGGTTAGCACTGCTCTCGAATCGGACGCAGAGGGGAATTCGTTGAACATACGACGTTCTCGAGGACCCTAAAGAGCGAATCAGTTAGCGTCCGGTCTCATTCCCGTAATATATCTATAGCGCAGGAAGCACATACATGTTGCTGTGACGATCAAACGCCTTGACGCGAGCAAGCCTGTAAACTCCGCCGTAAGCTTCCGTTCAATCCAAAATCCTGGGATTCGAAATGCCGCACAATTTCCGGTTCGACCGCAGACTGATCAGAACCTGGGTGTTGGTTCGGACTGCCGTCTGAAGGAGCGAGAGGGGGCCGTTGCTGAGTTCATATTCCTCCTATTTGTACGCCGTTAGCCATCGCGTCCGATCCAAACAGTTCGACCAATTCATTTCCCGGGTGGCATCATCGGAGTCGGTATTGAGAGAATCGAGCGAGGAAAAACGTACAATCTGCGCGATTTCGTATTCCCTGCGAACGAAGAGCTGTTAGTTTGTTTCTGCGGAGTTGCGATTGCGGTCCAAAACTTACGTGCACTCTGAGCGAGGCTTCTGGAGAAGGGCCCTGAATCTGTCAGTCTGCTTTCCGGATTCAAGTCGTCATGAGCCGTACTGAATGTTCGCTGCGTCCGCCATTGTGTTTGATTGAGCTGCTGTTCTTGTCCGTCGGTCGCGACTTTGAAATCGGTGATAGTGATATCAGCTCCAGATTCCGCGGATCGGGGAAACAATCATTCCGTCCGCCGGGCAGCACGTGATCGCTCATCGTCAACTCGAGCACCAAGGGCAGAAAAAAACAAAACCGGCAAATCTTGTATAATACGCAATAACTGATATCTACGTTGCATGTAGCTTCAGATACCTGCCTAGTATCTGTCTAGAAAAATGCTCTTTCCCCACCCTGTGAAGCTTGTCTGGCCCCTCCCATGTTCGAAAGCGGATCATGATAGCTAGGCACTAGTATATATTTCCCCTCAGCAGGCTATAAGACTAGCACCCTATAACCTCTTGACACATGCCAGTCCGCTCAATCCTATATTCCCCATCTATTGGCTTCCGCTAGGCTTCAACATAATATACCTAATAGACCGAAGGATCCCTAGACTTAGGTAGGCAGCAAGATTACGTCCTTATAACCAGCCGCCATTATCACAATCATCCCACTCGGGATCTTGTCTCTTCAGACTCAGCTCAGCTCAGCTCAGCTCAAGCACTGACCAAGGAGACAGACCATCATCATTCCAAGCCAAGAGCTTATCCAGCAAGAAGAAAGACCCAAAATGCCCAAACAAAACACAATCACAAACTCAGTCTTCCCCAACTCCTCCCCCCGGATCATCCGCTCAGAGATAATCCACTCTACGCTCGCAAACCTCGACTCAAGCGATACAATAAGTCGCTGCTACATCAATGCGTCAACGATCACAAAGACCACTACCACCAAGCCAGTTACCATCCCCGAAGGCGGCCCCGTAACATCACCAGGTCCAGACCCAACGCCAGGTCCAGAACCCTCTCCCCCAAGCACCAAAAGCATAACCCTCCGACGCAGCAAAATCACCACCTCCACACTCACAAACACCTCGCTCTCCCGCTCCACCATAACCGCCAGTAGCCTGTCCAATATCCCGCGCGCGCGCTCCGTTGTCGCAACAAGCAGCACGCTAGACAACGTCCGCCGCCTGCGCCGCGTCAACCTTGCAAACAGCACGATTACAGAGCAGAGCAGCATGGCGCGCTCCCAGGCCAAGGACTCCGTTGTCAGCGGGAGCTCGGTGTCCCGGGCGTCATTGGAGAAGAGCCATGTGCTTCAGAGTCGACTGCGCAAGAGCCATTTGCGGGACTGCGATGTGAGTGAGTGCGTGATTATTAATACGGACTTTCGGGGCATGGTGCTTCGGAATGGGGTTTGGAGGAATGGGAAGCTTGTTGGGTCTTGCGGGAAGGTGGAGGGAGTCGTTGTTAATGGGAAGGTATGTTCTTTGTACCTTATGATTAGGGTAAGAATGTATGCTGATGGCGAGTAGACACTTGATACGCCGATGGGTGAGAAGCAGCCTGGGGCTGCGAAGTGGATGGAGGGCCTGGAGTCTGAGATGGAGAGTAGCGATGTCCCGGATAGCGAAAGCGAGAGCGAGAGCGACGAGGATGATGCTATGCCGAAGAGGGAGCAAAAGAAAATGAAAATGAAGGAAGATCCGCCGCCGCCGTATGCCCCTTGAGCTCTGCTTTCATGATGACTGGATAAGCAAATGTCTCTGCTACTTGCAAGCAATGTTGATTGGTTATACATTGAGTCTTGATCACGAAACCTAGATGAGAATAAACCTCCGCAAATATGGTACAGAAAAGCTTTACGTGTGCGGCTTCTCCGGTTCCTCAGGGATAGTGGTAAATCTCTGTAGTACCTGTTTCAACGCCGGCCGTCGAATCGGTTTGCTATAGAAGTCAGAACACAAAGTCTAGAGCTTCCTCGGCGAAACATACCTAATGAACATGTCCATCCCCGAGTTCATGCAGTCCTTGATATTGCTGTCTTCCGAGAATGCGCTCAGCGCGACAATCGGCGCCGAGTAACCCATTTGGCGGATGAGGCGAGTGCTCTCGATGCCGTCGAGGTTTGGCATCTACGAACATTAGCAACGACAAAGGTATTGGAGAATAATGAGAGGTACCTGAATATCCATAAAAATCAAGTCAAACACTCTGCCCTCCTCCATATTCGCCTTTACTGTGTCATAGGCTTCCTGGCCGTCTTTGACCACAATCACGTCGTATACGTCTTCTAAAGCCAGCATTCTGCACAAGTCAGCAAATGATACGAAGCGAGCATTCGGCTGCCTACCTCGTAACAACCTCCTGGTTGACTACGTTATCCTCAGCCACCAAGGCCCTTATCTTCCTTGGCCCATCGTCCTCGGCCGGACGCACAGCCGGTGCAAAGAATGGCTGACTCAAACCAACCAAGCGAGGCTGTGAATCCTGCTTCTCAGAACTCTGCGTAGACTCATGCTGAGATGCTACGCTATGATTTGATGGCGCCTTTGCAACAGTTGCGAGATCATTCAAAGAGAAAACACTTGAGGTACGTGAAGGAGCCACACTCGTCATCGAGCTAGAAGTGCTAGGCGCCGACTCTTTGACGAAGCCCAGCGGAATTCGAACGGAAAATAGCGTCCCTCGTCCTTGCTCGCTGTCTAACAGGATCTGGCCACGCATGAGCCTGGCGAGCTGCATGCAGATACTCAGACCCAAGCCAGTGCCCCCGTACTTTCGGTTGAGTCGAAGGTCACCTTGCACGAAAGGCTCGAATACGCGATTTTGGAGGTGGTGGGGAATCCCGGGACCGGTATCTTCGACTTCGAATTGGAGGATGAGCGTGCGCATGTTCGAAGGGCGCGCTTGATTGTCGTCCCCGCCGTCTTTTGGGAGATCGATGGATGGTCTAGGGCGCGAGCTGGCGTGAGAGGACCCTCTGGATCGCCAGCGTGAGAGGGCTTTTGATTCAGGTCTCGGGCTGTTGGGACGCGTATGCTCCTCGCCGAGACATTTGATGCGTATTGCGACGATGCCCTCTTCCGGCGTGAACTTGAGACTGTTGCTCACAAGGTTGATAAGGATTTGTAAGATGCGGTGTTGATCGCCCCAAAGCACCATGTCTTTCAACCTGGCCGTTCCTGGTGGGCCGTATACAGCACCAGCCGTGCGAGATGCAGCTTTCGCGGAGTCGCTGAGCCGGGGAGTGTCCGGATGGCAGAACTTGATACTGAATGAAATCTGTTTCTCTTGGACCTGATTCTGGAAGATGATATTCAACTGCGACCGAATGTCCGAGAGTTTGAACTCTTTCTCTTCCAGCCGAATGGCTTGGTCGATTTGATTCCGGCTAAAGGTAAGTAGGTCGTTCAACAGGTGCAGAAGCAGGTCGCCCGACTTGTATACAGTGTGGAGCGACTTCTTAATTCGTGGGAGATCGTCCTCGCCCATGCAAACGGCGCACATCCCAAGAATTCCATTCAGCGGTGTTTTAAGCTCGTGAGATATGTTGGCAATGAATAGTGTTTTGCTCTCGTTGGCCGTTTCCGCCGCTATCTTGGCTTTCTCAAGCTCACGAGTGCGCTCCGCCACTCGCTCTTCGAGTCGATTGTACTGGATCACAAGCTCGTCGGACATTTCGTTGAACGTGCTCGTCAGGTCTGTCAATTCATCCATAATGAGATGTTTACGCTCCTTGACTCGGCTAGGGATCTGGAATTGATGCGACTCGTGGTCGCGATGACGGTCATTCGCTGAATCGCTTCGACCGCGTCGAAGCCGGCTGAAGAACCCGCTCTTCTCGTTGTCGTTCTGCATCGCTACTTCGATAGGATCAATCATAGTCGACGGGGACGGACTCAGCGGCCCAATCGTGGGATTAACTGATTTTCGCGTCGCCTCGCGGAGTCTGCGAATAGGGGCAACTGATATATGGGCAAGCGGTGGAATGAGCAAAGCAATCACGCCTGCTACACCAAATACGCAAGCTAAGATAATATTTCGCAGACGGGAAACAGGAGCGAATGCCTCTGCGTGCGTTTCTTCGATAATCAGCACCCATTCCACCAAGTCAGACCGCTGCTGAATCGCGCCGACAGCGACATGACTATCGTTCTCATTTCTTGACGAGAGATTGGTGATTGAGTGATTGATTGATGCATAGGGCTTGCTCAAGACATTCAGCGCGATGGGATAGTCGCGTAATGGAAACGACTCCCCGTTGGCGACAGCGACGCTGTGTCTCCTCTTGTTTCCTGGCAACGGCGTCGGCGCGAACACATAATGTACTTGTTGTTCATCCAGACCGCTAATCTGAGGATCTGATGTTGGCGTGCCTGGTCGCGAGCCGGTAGGGAAACGATTCTCTGGCCTCGAGGGGGAAAGCAGGAGAACTTGACCGGTGTCTCCAAGGCCTTGACGAGATTTCACCACATCCTGCAAGTTGGCGGCGCTCGCAACAACACTAGATAGTTAGCAGATTCAAGCTGGAAGGAGGAGCGCCCTACGTGATGTAGCCCAGGATATCCGCAGCCGAAGTATTATTGATGATCGGCACCGACAAAGACACAAGCGAGAAAGAGTCATTCGTTGCGAGCGGCCCAAGAAGTAACGGCTGGTTCATTGTAACCGGGACAGTCCCAAAAGCGCGTACCCCGTTCGAGGTCGCATTTTCGGTCAGGTTTGGATAGAGCGAGGGTGGGTATCCGAGTCCGTCATCTCCAAGCATCACCGCAGTGCCGTTCGGATGATTGTAGGGGAGCCTGATTTCAGGGACATCATCGCTCGTAACGTTTATCAATCGCCGCGCTGTTGTTTCCCCATCTTCGACGCCTCTCGCATAGACGCTCGCTTGGTAGAGGCTGAGATACCCACGAGTCCCCAAAGCGGATTGCACGTCAGTGATCGACGAGTCCCATAGTCCATTGCTTGTATTGCCGGCGTAGTAACTCTCGAGGGTGGACTGGAGGAGGATGCGGGTAATGATTGTCTTGCATGTCGTCTCGAGCAGGTCAAGATTTCCGGCGATCTGACTGGACTTGATCGTAGCGACGAGTTCGAGGCTTTTGGATCTGCGCTGATTAGCCAAAACAAGAGACTCAGAATGCAACGCGAGGCATACTTGACGCCAACAACGAAGTTGTAGTTGTTAATCCACTGCCAGAATTAGCGGATGCTGTCGACCGGAGTCTGACAGGCGCGCCTACCGTTGCGATGGCTAGAGCCGCCAGACCAGCCAGGGCCGTCAAGAGGACCAGCAGCCCCAACTGCACGGCAATAGGAACGCGCATTGGGGACCGATTGCCGCCCATTCATATCCAGAATGACCTTGATGGATTTGATGGAGGGGTCGCGATGAGGATGAAGAACGGAGGAGAGGAGGTTCAGCAGCAGGGTTAGGCCGGGACCGAATTTGCCGACGCCAACCCCAGAAAACCTGAATTAACTGACATCTGGCGAGCTTGTGCAGTGTTGATTGTCCCGCACGATCTAGATTGGTCGATTGCCATTGTCCGACTCATCAAGGCCCGATCCAGGGCGCTGATTCGCGGGGCCGTTCCCTGACACCGGTCTAGACAGCGGACGCCGTTCCTCGCTGCATTTTATTTCCGGCTGGCACAGACAGTTGGAGACCAGACGTGGAACTGCAGAGACTCGAAACGTGGTTCGGCTCGAGGCAGAGTTATGTGATGATGCTCTACAGTCTTCGCCGTCAACACCCCTCCTTTCAACGAAACACTTCCAGCTTCTCTCCAAACCTGAACGTCGACCAGTATCACAAACCTTGCTTCCGACCACCTCCTTGCGGCCGAGTGTTCGACACACTCTCCAGTTTCGCAATCTCATCTCGGATCTTCAGGGGCCGCTTCAGATACCCCTTGGCAGACCCATCCATCAGCCTCCTGCAGCTTTAACTCTCCACAAGGCCCATTCCCCGGTCGATTTTTCGGGCACGTCACCAAACCTGGCGCCTGAAGACTCACTTCTGTTCGTTATCTACCCAACGCATACCTTAGACGCAGCTAGCGATGATGCCGATAGGACGCGGGGCAATCAGCCAGCGTTCAGGCACAATGAGGTGGTGGTTACAGTGGGCCGCTATGAGAAAGGGTAGGGGCATCTCGCCCTGACGGTCCGTGATGAGTGTCTTTGAAGTGAAAGAGTAATAATCATACGAGTTGAATAGTGAGTAAGCCCTCTCCATCAGTGGGCGTCATCAAGAATGCTCCAGGCTAACGCCAAACCTGCGGTACGTTGTTAAAGGACCGATAACTTATTCAAAACTCGTGAACAACATAAACAGTGATATTAAAGAACCGTCGAAGACTATAAACAATTCGAGACGGAGGAAAAAAACGCCCTGTCCGACGAACAAGCCAAACCAATCACCGTCCGATGGGCCCGACAGGCAGCCTCAAAAGCCCTAACAAGAACTGAACGATGTTGGTCCCCAGAGCCGCCAGGGCCCTCGGATCCTGCAGTCCCGTAAGCTGCGTCTTGCGCGTACATCCCTTCCTGACAGGAGCGCCATTCAATCGATCGGTTAGCCACATGAACGCATCTGGAGCCCCAGTAATCGTCAACAGCGCATGTTCCGACAGCAGATCCCGAACATATTCCACGTCCGCCCCATTGCCACAGTACGTATTGTACAGTGCGTCGGTGTCGCTGATCGGGCTGATCTGGTCGTTGACGGCCTTGTAGATCAGAAGCGGGATCTCGGGTGTGTTATGGCCCATCGCGTTGGGCTCCATGACCGAGTTGGCGAGCGGCGTTTCGAAGACATCCGGCGCGATGGTGTAGCTGTAAACATCCTGGCCGATGTACTCGAGGATGTTACCCGTCAAGCACAGCTGCTGGGTTTTGTTGAACTCAGCCCACGTCTCGGGGCGGATGCCCTCGCGGATGAGTTGCTGGGCGGCTGGGTATTCGTTTGCAAGGCCCTGGATGCCGGCTGGGAGGAGCCCGGTGAAGACACCCTTATTAGAGGCTTCGATGACCGGGAAGATTTGAGGGACTGTCCCACCGAGCGCAGCGCCGGCAAGCTTCAGCTCTGGCGCGTATGAGGGCTGGAGCTCTGCAGCGAACCCGCTTGCCAGGCTGCCGCCGGAGTAGCCCCACAGAGCGACGGTTGCTTGAGATGAGATGCCGGTGATGTCAGTGGATGCGAGTGCGGCGCGGACGTTGTCGAGCACGGCCTGTCCGGAGAGGGTGTTTGCCAGGAACGCAGACTTGGGGCCGAGATGATCCGGGATGATGACGACGAATCCTTTGTTCAAGGCTGAGCTCATGAACAGGTACTCGAGCTGCGGCATGATGAGGGCGAGGGCCTCGCCCGCGTCGGAGTACTGCTGGAGCGCAAAGGATGGAGAGCAGTTGGGGTCTGCTGCATCCTGGGCGACCTGGTAAGAGAGCACTTTGGTGTAGTCGGCATTGTGCGGGATGAGGACAGTCGTCACAGTGGCGATGGGATCGCCGAAAGAGTCCGTCGTCCGGTAAAGGATTTGGTATGAGGCATCGAGATTCACCTCAGCGAGACCAAAAGCCGCGATCGCAGAAGGTGGAGTTCGGGTTCGCAGAATCGCACCAGGAGCAGTCGACTCCCAACCAGCTGGAGGGGTATAGAAAGGGTCTTCTCCTGGTGTTAGAGGGCTAGTCTGCCTCACGGACTCGGCTGGCAAGGCAGACGCGAGAAATGGCACCAGGAGGAAGAGGACCTGAAAGAGGAGCGAGGCCATGGTGGAGGAGGCCGATAGGGCTGGGGACGACAAAGCTCAAAGTTCAGGGCGTCTTCGCAGCATTTGTACTCGGGGCCCTCCACCACAACATCCATGTTTGCCTGTTCCTGGCCGAGGCATCCATCTTCCTAGCCAACAGTTTCATCGCACGAATTCTGAGAGTTGCTCCGCTCGAAACCAACGAGATCCGGCCCTATACGGTACCCATACGCAGAACAACGATTGGCGAAATGAACGCCTCGCGAGTCAGCAAGGCCGAGGCGATTGCGAACGCCTGGAGGAGACAGGGGTCCATGTGAAGAATCTTGCGAGAATTTACCAAAGCCGATTGCTGGAACTTTGGAGCTAGAAAAGCCGAATCTTCACGGTAACCTTGGTGGGCATGGTCGCAGCCGATCCTCATCCCCAGGTTCCCCGCCGAATTTTCAAAATCCCCTGTCAGAAGCCCGGGACCCCTGTCGATTCGCTCTAAATCAAGAAACAACCCCTGCAAAACTCTTGCATATGTCCATGTCTGTATGCACAGGATCACGCGCACCTCCCGGAACGATTACCCATCCAAGTTACCTCAGTACTTGCCCAGCATCTTCTGCGTCCACTCCCACAGCTACCCCGCCAACCCCTCATCGCTAGCCCTAGCATCCAGCCCACCTTTCTCCCAACAGGCTTATACAACTCCCCATTCACAAGCCTATCTTTCCTTGTCGACGCCGCCCAAAGAGAATTATACACCCCCTCCTCCGGGCTCACCCTTGGCCCAGCGAGATGACATTGACAAACAGCCTCTTGCCAAACTCAGCCCACTGATCAGATTTGTCGACACAACGCCCGGATCACAGACACGGAGGTGACGGAGGGGTATCGCCGCGCTAGCTCCGCCGCATCCAGCAGGTTCGCGAGCTTGCTCCGCCCGTATCGCCCACGACCACAGGAAGCTCTTCAGCTCTCAACAATATTCCTCGCCCCGATCCCGCCATAGCCGCAAACTTGTAGCCGAGGAGGTAAGGAGCATGATGCGCCCGTCGCCCTGTGCCTGTGCCTGTGCCTGTTCCTGGCTGATGCTGACGGTGTCGCCGTCGAACCTTCACACACACCTGCATCCGCCCTGCAGCTACAGCTACACCACACTCGCCTTCCTACTCGCCCCCTCCTGCATCAGCGGCAGGAACGCTCGAATAAGCAGCGCATGGCCCAAAGGATTCGTGTCAACCTGCACCTCGTACTCGTAGCCATCCCCCGTCAGTCCCGGCGAGCGTGCAAACTCGTCAGGTCACATTGGATGAGTTTCATCTCTGTGCCTGATGGCAGGGTTAGAGAGCGCACCTTTCCAATCAGGGCGTCGGCGACCTGAGCGTTCCGCCCGCTGTAGATCTTGTCAGCGTGTGCTTGGCGAGGTGAGGGTTGTTGCGGCGCCGAGGCTGTCAGTCCCTATAAGTAGATATCCGATGCAGAATTAGAATGGCCCGATATGTTTAGCGGGGGTACTACTCGGGCCCTCGAGGTAAGTGTGGGGTACCTAGGTAAATGCTCCATGTTCTTACCCCCAGTTCCGCGATGAAGAAGACCTTTCCCTCAAGATCGGGGACATCGGTCTCGGGTTGAATTCCAAGCCACCACGCACTTTCGCTTGCGGGTGAGATACATTCCTAAAGAGAGAAAAGACAGCTTTTCGTCCCCGTAATTTCGGGTCTCTGGGCTCGAGATTGTATAATGCAGCTCTTAGGATGCAGGGCTGGCTGATGGCACCTGCAGGCATAGCGAATGTCGCCGAGACTCACCTGGTTGTTGGCAGGGCTGCAATCGGCTAGAACTATAGAGAGGAGAGAGACGCCATTGTAAGACAGATTGCAGACTACCGCGGATATGACTGGATTCTGCTTGTGGCGATCTGGGTAAGGGTAAGGGTAAGAGTAAGAGTAAGAGAGAAGGCGGGGCTTGCATTCATCATGTATGGCGACACCTGAACTCAACTCCATCTTGTTCATAACAGGTCATGATCATAATCTATCTACCCGGGTCTATCAAGGCTATATACAAGAAGACATATACACAGGCCCCCGTCCCCGTCCCCGTCCCCTCAACCTTCCGGCTCATCCATTCCAACACCTCCCGGGCCATTCGGCCAAACCAACCCAACTTCCAAGCCCATCAATCACGCAACCCCGCGCGGAACAACACTCCTCGCCCTCGCATCACCCGGCATCGTCTCCCAAAGCACCAACCGCACCTCCTTCCCCACCTGCTCAATCATATCCATCGCCCAAAGCACATCAAGATGCTCATACTCCTCGATAACTTTCTCATGAACAACATCAACGCACGGCTCACGACCGCTCCCAAGCCTCCGCAGAAGTTTCCGCCCATCAACAAGCTGGTCTGCGCCGCCGATCCACAGTGCAAAGGGTGGAGTGCGCGGGCCGTACCACGCTGTCGAATCGGATTCGGCGTCTCTGATACTCGACGCTGACGCTGTAGTGCGGTTGAATTCAACTTCAGCAAGACACGCCTCCTTCGTCGCGAGAATGCACTCGTGCGTCGAGAACCCGTCCGCGCCTAGCCACCACCGAATCGTCTCGGTGGAGACATACACAGGCGCGAACTGGAACATACGGTCGCGGAGCCCGTAGTCCCAGCGCGTATCGGACCAGTTGAACAGATACGAGAAGACGATGTAGCCCAGTTTCCCGTAGAGGCGGGCATGAAGCCAGCGCCGGACGGTGACCATCAACGGGATGAACGAGTGGATGCCAAAGACCAGCCGAAAGACAGCGGGGGAAATCAGGCGCATGAAGCGGAAGTAGACGCGGTTAACGAGAGGCCCGGCATAAACCGCTGGCGCGAGGGCGCAGAAGACAGAGATGCGGTCGCCCAGCTCGGGACGTTGGTCTTTCGACAGCGCGACGAAGGTCTGCGCGCTTCCTTGCGAGTGTGCGATCAGGCCGAGTTTGTCGTACCCTGTTTCGAAGAGCACGCGGGAGATTAGCGCTGTTATGTCGAACGCGCCCATGTGCTGGATTGTCCAGCTCCACATGCGCGGGTCGGAGTCCAGCATGCTTGTGTGCTCTGGTTCGAGACCGCACCGGTTATTCCCCAGCCAGACGTCGTATCCGGATTTGCAGAGGAAGAACGCGAGGCTATCGTCGTCGTTTGCGCAGTACGCGCCGGAGTTCTGCAGGAGACCGTGCATCAAGAGCACGGGGTATTTCCTTCGCACCCCATTAAAGGACTCCAGATCCTTCTTCGCGCTGAATACATGCGGCCCGCGTGGTTTCCGCTCGCTGGCAGGGAGAGGCGTGTATTCGTGGGGATTATAGACGTGCCAAAGTGTAAGGATGAACCCGTCTTCCGTCTGCACTTTATAAGTCTCAACATCTAACCCGACTCGTCGCGCATAGTACGCGACATCATCGACAACGGGATCCTTCCCTCCTTCTAACGGCGGGCAATCGTCATCGTCCGGCGCCTCCTCGTCGACTTCCCTCTTCTCCTGCCGGAGCTTCCACCGCCGACTCGACGTCCGTCGGTCTAGCCTGCGCGCGCGCTCTTCGGCGTAGAATCTCCGCTGTTGCCGCGGACTGTTTCGCTGCAGATACTGGCCTGCCGCAACGAGGAGTAACCAGATGCCACGAGATAGCGCCCCAAGTACAACAACCAGGAGAAACAACAACGACAGGACAAACGACGCGCCTCGAATGGCCAGATACCGCGCCGTATCAAGCATAGACGGCGGATGCACGTACACCGGAAGCGGAGGGAACAGCGGATGTCCAGGGAGCGTGAAGACAGGCGCGGCTTGGGAGGCTGCGAGATGCGGTAGCGCCGTGCGCCTCTCGCTAAGCAGCCCGTCTGTGACCGCAGAAATCTCATCGTCATCGTCGTCGCTCTGATTCGGGACCCTGTCCACAGCCTGCAACCTCAGCACCGGCGGCTTTGCGGCCTTCGTCGCGGACGGCATCTTCGCGGGCTGCTGGCTTTCCAGCGATTTGCGGAGGGGTAATTGGGGGGTCCCGTAGAGGGACTCGATGGTCGTTGTAACTGCATCATGGGCGGGATTTGGCGTTATTAGCATGTTGTCAGTGTCAGTGGAGTCATGGGACGCGAAGGCTGTGCGTCATGTCTGATTGCGGTCAGGAGGAGAGGAGGATCAGGTGGAGTTGCGCGGTGACTCTAGAAAGTTAAGAAGTTGCGCTGCCAAAGGTGCGGTCCCGATTAGAGATTAAGATAGATATGTAAGACAACGAGACTTTTGAAACGTCAGAAGAAAAGCTGGAACATGTTTGAGAGAACGTCTGGGGACTGGGGAGAGGGATTGCCTCCAGGCTTGGCGATCGTTGCTGGTTATAGATCGCACGTGAAGGTGGAGCTGTTGACACACGTCACCTGCCGGATCGAGACGATTATTGGCCGATCCAAGCTCCGAGACCTGCCTGAGGCTGCCAGGACAGGAACGAAACCGGAGTTGACAATGGGTCGCGGTAAGTTATTCAGTGATGATTTATGACGTTCATTCATAGTCTAACATATACAACATGTCTATATCCAAAAGGTACTAATAGAAAAACAATAGAGAAACAACATGGGCCGGGCTAAACCGAAGCCTTCTCGACATGCTCGGAAAGCTGCTTGGCGTGGGCATTCGCCTCCAGTTCGGCCAAGCCACTGCCCTTGCGCCCAGCAGCAACGTCGCGCACATCCGTGAAATTCACCGACGGCACGAAGCCCTTGGACTGCCAGGCATGAGGGACCTTGGCGTAGAGCTCATCAACTTCCTCGAGCGAAAGACCCTTGGTCTCGTAGATGCAGGTGTAGACGAAGACGCCGGCAATCAAGCAGAATCCTCCCCAGATGAAGAAGACCTTGGACTGGAGATTGGCGTTTCCTGGGCCGGAGTCGACCATGTATGGGGTGGCGTAGGCGATGGCCCAGTTGAGCAGCCAGTTCGCAGCAGTCGTGATGGAAAGGCACTTGGCGCGAGCCTTGAGCGGGAAGAGCTCACCAGTGACGACCCAAGCGACAGGTCCCCAGGAGGATGCAAAGAAGAAGATGTAAACGCAGACAAAGGCGATGAGGACTTTGTTTGCAACGCCAGAGTCGGTGGTGGTACCGACGATGGCCACAATAAACTGGCTGACGCACATGCCGACAGCTCCAAAGAGTAGAAGCGGACGACGACCCCATTTCTCGACCATCCAGAGACCGGGGAACGTTGAGACAACGTTGACGATGTTTGTGATCAAGGTGATGACGAAGCTGTTGTTGATGCCAGAGTGTTCGAAGAACGTTGTTCCGTAGTAGACTGCAATCGTTAGAAATCGCCATGAGTCTGCGTCAAGGGTACATACAGATAAAGTTCACACCAGCCAGCTGCTGCAGGGCTTGGACAGCGCAGCCAGTTGCGAGGCGCCTGCCAATGGATCCGCGAAGAATCTCCAGGTAACTAGCTGTGCCAATGCTCATCTCATATTCATGGTTCGCCTGGATCTCCTCAAGTTCCTCGACGAGCGCAGGGTCATTGACATCCAGACGTCGAAGACGAGCAAGGGACTTGGTGGCAGCCTCGTGCTTGTTCTTTTTGATCAGGAACCTGGGCGTCTCAGGAAGAACGATCATTCCCACAACCAGAATAATAGCCCAGGCGAACTGAACGGCCACCGGAATGCGGTAGCAACCAGTATCATTGCGGTCTTTCGTAGAGTTGTTCACAATAGCTGCAAGCAGCAACCCGATTGTAATGGCCAGCTGGTAAGCACCGACGATGGTTCCTCGAATCCACTTTGGCGCCGTTTCAGACTGGTACAGAGGAACGGTTGCGGACAGCAAGCCGACACCGAATCCGGCGAAGAAGCGACCAGCAACGAAGAGCGGGATAGCGGTAGCCGCAGTCTGCAAAATCACACCGAAACAGAACACAAAGCAGTCGAGGATCATGGCAATGCGTCGGCCGAAGTAATCAGCGACGGGGGCAGCTGTGAGCGCACCGAAAAATGTACCGGCGGACAAGAGAGAGACGATCATTGAGGACTGAGAGGATGTGATATCGGGGATATGGTCATTGGGGTTGATGTAGCCGGTAGAGAACTGCCTTCGCCAGTACTTCATGGCGATAATACCGCTGATGGTGCCGGTATCATAGCTATTGCGCGTTAGCGAGGGCCAGGCCAAATGCCGGGTGGATGGAAGAACATACCCATACAACACACCACCAAAGGCCACAAACAAACCGATGAGGATAGCAGGGGCTGCAGAGCCCGCTGCATCATCAGGCTTTCTAAGCATAAAGCCCATGGTGAAGGAGAGGTGCTAGCAAATAAACAAGGATTGAGTTCGTTGGCGAAGAATAGACTCAGAGAGAAGATGATAAACAGATCGACATCCTCTCCACGGGGGACACGGGGTAGATTTTATACCCCGATCTCAGATGCGGAGGAAACAGGCAGAGGGTGAATTGCCCATGTCCGGCCGGGCCATTCGATGGGGAAAGCTCGAACGACCGAAAGCAGCAACCGCCACAACACATCAGACGCAATCGGTGAGGAGCCCGTCAACGCGAGCTAACGCACAAAAGGCAATAATCGCCCAGCCTCTGCACGCTCGCATGGTGGAAATCATCGTATCTGCGGAATCGCGGAGGGGATGTGCGAAACACCTTCCCTTCTCTGCTGGTAAGCTCGCTAGGGGCGCGGGCTAGTGAGAATCAAGACTCGGGTCCGGGGTCGCTACCACGGCACGAAACGAATCTGGAACGCCGGGCAGGGGCCGAATGGTAAACAGTGGCGACTCGGTCGGGATCTGGTCCTATCATCTGGGCTAGGATCCCGAGGTTGAGGCTATACACGTTGAGCGGCGTCGGGCGAAGACCCGGAAGTTGACCGAATGGCCGGTGGCCCAATAGTAGTACTGGTGGTCTGGTCGCACAGTGAGTCAGGGAATGTGGACACGGGGCACCGGTCGCGGAGAGATCTGAATCTGGGGTGGCACAAGCGAGATCGACATTGCGGTGCGAGATGCGAATGCGCTGTCGCCGTCAGGAGAAGAAGAGACGAGAAGCCGCTTGCGGTCGGCCAACGGTCGCGGTCACGGGGTCATCCCTTACAGAGAACAATGACCACTGACAAGTTACGGAGTGCAACTACCTACTTTGTCACCTCCACGACCTACACTTCTTGCAGACACAAGACAGACCGACATTTCTACGATGAAACCGCTTCTCAACAATCCCGATTCCCGACTCCCCAGACGAGCCCCTCGCCGATGATCGGGGACGATTCCCCAGACAGGGACTGTTGGAGAGCGATCTCGATCCGGCTGTGGGTCGCCACGAACATTCTTCTGGCCTCGTGATCGGAATGCCATTATTTTTAGCAGAAAGTTGCCTCTGCATGCCTTTGGCCAGCAGTCGAGTTCGAGAAAATTCTGTTCGATGTGGCCAGATCGCACATCAGACAGCATGCATGGCCATGCATGCCACCGGAGTTTGCGGTGTTCCCGCCCCTTGCTAGTGTGACTGTGGCCAGCGTCAAGCTTTCCCAGTGCCGGGCTAAGCACTCCGTCGTTAGACCGTGAACCGCGGTTGCTGGCTGCTATTTTTGAAGTGGCGCAGTACAATGGTCTTGTTCATGACTCTGGTAGACAGTCAGCGGCCATCGCGTCAAAAAGTTCGTGTGGTGGACTTGGTCGACTCGAGGTTTTGCCACTACCTAGTCATGATGGACATGAGGCTGAACCACAATGTACGATGCTACGATAACTCTTCTCTAGAACTTCGCAGGAAATCACCAGAATTCCCCTCTCTGTTTGGTTCTAACTCTGTCGATGCAGCCGCCCGATACGCTGGGTTGTCACTTGTCATCGCTGCCCGCCCTCTCCATTCAGTCGACGCCCGCTAGAACAACTGCGCGGATCAACTACCAATGAACGAAAATGACAAATACTCCTTCGTCGAGAGCGCAAGGAAAATGACATAAAACATTGAGCTGATCTTGGGTGAAAGCGGGGTCCTATTTCGAGAAAAACATTTAGTGGTCAACGACCTCCTTAGGATGCGTCCAGCTATGTTGTCTCGTGGGATTGAAAATCTGCCACAACCTCTCATACTCATATAGGACCAGAGTAATTGGGGTCAATCCCAGCGCAATAAATGCAAGGATGCTATTACCCCAGCCGTATCCAAACCGAGCGTACAACGGCGGCGCGAACAGAGGCATTACGACCCCAAAGACAGACCGGACTGTGACATTGGCCGCAATCACGCTGGCAGCATAGTCCGTGAACGCATCAATCAGATACGTCTGCACGGCCGTAAAGACGACTGCGATGCCCGCCGCAATCAAACCGGATCCAATAATCGGCATCACCCAATGAAGCTGGGCTTGAGCCGACCACCCGTACCACATCAGGCCGATCATAATCAGCATCTTGCCAGGCAGGATTGCGGGCAGGCGGTCTCTGGGCCTACTGTGGCCGTGGATGGCTCGCTGGCGATTCACGTACCAGTCCAAGGCCGGGCCGGCGAAGCGCGCAATCGCGAATCCGGTTCCCTGGCCGATATAGGTGAGGCCGATTTGGGCTTCGTTGAAGCCGTACTGGGTGCCGAAGAGGATGGGCAGGGTCGTGATGATGAAGTACATGAAGACAAACGCCGTTGACGTATACAGCGCGGCGATGATCACGACGGGTGAGGTGGTTTGGAGAACGACTGATCGAGCTATTGCCGCGCGTATTGTCTTCCATCTTTGTCTCTCTTGGTGAGGGCGTAAGCTGTCGAATTCAGCGATCCTCATGGCTGTGGGGGCATGTGTTTCCTGCACAATCCACAACCCCACGAGTGTCGATAACCCACACTGCATAATTCTTCAGTGAACAGCCAATTGCCTGATATCAAGACATACCAAGACGAACTCCATCATCAGCGCCCATCTCCACCCAGCTCTCAACGATATATACCCCCCAATAATTGGACCTACTTCATGTCAGAGAAGGATCAGCGTCAGACGAGAGGCGTTTCTCTTACCAATCACCGAGCCCTAGTCATGCCTTCCTGTCAGCGTTGGACCTCTCGCACCGTGCCAGGCCCGCCTAACTCACCAACAACGGCCCAGTCGACCAGAAACTCAGCATTGTCGCCCGTTTTTCAGCAGGTATAAGGTCCGCTATCACACTGCCGCCTATTGTCGTCGGTACACAACCCGCTAGGCCCATGAGGACTCGCCCGATAAGCAGGACTTCCACATTTGGACTGAGAGCGCTCATCAAGGACGAGAACGTGGACAGGACGTTCGACGCATGCAGCAACGGGGCTCTCCCGTAGAGATCCGTCATGGGCGCCACGATCAGCGGCCCGACAACGAACCCGACCACATGGGCGCAGATCAGAAACGAGGTCAACGACGCACTCGACCTGTGGAATTCATGAATGATCCCGGGCGCTGCGGGGGTGAGGATCGTGGTGGTGATGCATCTGAATTCGTAGGATACGAACAGAACGGTTAGCTATGAACACTGGCTGGAGGTGGAACAGGGAGGATTCCGCCAGGGAGCGGTACTCATTGAACGAAGCAATTGAGGCTATTCCAATGATGGCCAGTTTCCGTGCATCTGAGAAGTTTCTCGGGTGTCTTGGGTCGTGCGCCCATTTGCGTCCAATGTCATCTAGATCGGCCGCTGCTGCATCTACTGTCGAGATTTGCTCATTCGGTGGCACTTTCGGCAGGAGTGGACGTCTCTCATCGTCCAGTGGCATCTTGTGCTATTGGAGAACTCTATGAGAGAGAATCTGGATAGCTGTGGGAAGCTGTCAGATTAAGGCCGGAGGTCTTTAAGGTCTCAAAGGTCTTAAGGTCTCAAAGGTTTTAAGGATTCTGAGATCAATTGGAAGAAGAGGAGTGCGTGAAATGCAAAGAGTGACCAAAACGGCTATCTGTCTGGCTCTGAAGATAAGACGCGAAGATCAAAGCTGGATACAGAGGTAATGTCTTCGAGTCCATGCAGCTTATGCGGCTAGTTTGGCGCTCTAGCCGTGTGCTTCTCGCAGAGCTTGCTCACCTCATGCCCTTAGGGAGCCTTTTTTTTCATCGGCACGCCTTGTTGTGGCCTCTCACTGGGGAGCTACTAGGTAATCGCGGTCTCTCCTAAAACTGGGCTTCGACACGTCTCGTCTTACATGCATATCTTTAGCCGGTAGGCCCAGGCTGAGGGAAAAAAAGGGTTTGCTGGATAAGGAGTTTCTTGTCCCCGGACCCCATCCCATGTCTTTGGGATCATGGATGTTAAGGTTGCTTGTTGTTTGCTGCGGGTAGGTTAGGACATGCAGGGATGGCCTTTCTATGCTCTTGATACTAGGATTGCAATGCTAGATCTAGTCAGTATGCAGATCTCATCTGTCTGTCAGCTGGTCGATCAGGACATACAGGGATAGCCCTTCGACACTCTTGATACTACCACTAGCCGATGTAGACATCTGTCTCTCTGCCACGTAGGCATCGGATCAAGTCATTGCACATTATACTGCCTTTCAGCAGAGAGGGCTGCCGGTACTCATTATACATCGTATACAACGGCATGACTGACTGAGCCAATCAGAACATGCGGGTCTAATTTCCATTCACGCTGACCAAAGCTGAGGGTAGGGTAGGAGGTCTGTGGAAGTGTGACAGGCATGGTATGTCCCTAGGATAGACATGGTATGCAGCTTGATCCTGCAGAAGAACCCAGCAGGCCCTCGCACAGTAATGCTTTTCTGATGTCTACTGTATTCCTTTCTTTCCAATGGCAAATCCTGTAATACTACGCACCTATCAGCAAACTCGGCCCTATCTAGACCCCGCATACACAAATAATGACGGCCCGGGCAGCTTCGCTCCCTTCGCAGCAGACCGATGAGTAAGTTTGGATTCTGACTGGAGCTGACTGGAACCATGATCAGGGTATATTCATGGTCCGCGATTATCCATGTCATAACGTTCTGCAAGGTATACTTGTTCCTACTACGAGGCAAGGTTGCAAGCATAATGTATGAGGCGCTCAGCTTCGTTTCTCATGAAGCATATCGACATTGAAAAGAGTGACATGGCATCAAATGGATACAACCATCTGGTCCGGTCAGCTCCTACAAAGTAAAGCCATCTCTATCTGCATGCGTGGAATATGTGTCCTGTTGCGCAAACTGCGGCTATAAATGAGGGCATGGCCTTGTACCTTAGACATCTTCGTAGCATTGAAGAAGAGATCTCCAGTAACGAACAAGCATAGTGCCCCTTGACCAAAACCCCTCCTTGCATCATGCTCCTGAACTCGATCGTGGGATCTATCCTTACAGTGAACTTCCCAATTACCAAATGGCTCCGTAGCTGGATCGAGCCCTGGCACGCCCCAACCTCAACCTCGCCCTCCAACGAAATCACCAAGACCGAGTATGAAGCCATCCTGCGAGACATGCTGAAAACCATGGGAACGGGCTTCTCCCCTCAGCGTCCATGCGCCCACCTCGCCTCGCAAATCTCCACCCACATCAGCCCCGTAACACACAACCAGGATCTCGCACGGAAGGTCTGCAAAGTCGGCGCATTGGTGGCGCTCTACTTCTACCCGACGCATGGCCCAGCCGTCCAGGCGCTAATCGGGACATACACGGCCTTCTACCTGATCCTGGACGACGAGGGCGAGAGCATGCTTGCGCAGATCAGCCAGTTCCGGGCGCTCCTGATGAATCCGAGCCCTTCCAGCGCCCCGGCCGCAATCCAAATGACCATGACAGCACCCTTCAAGCTCCTCGCCTGGATCTTCACCGAGATCGACCGCGTCTTCGCCCCGCCGGTAGCTAACAGACTGGTTGCGGGCGTGCTGAGCTCCCTGTCGAGCCTGGAGATCGAGCTGGACCGGTCCACGGCATTCAGCGGGGTCGCGTCGCCGCTGTTCGCGAAGTACTTCCGCAACATGAACGGGAGCTCGGAGGCGTATGTGTATTTCCTGCTGGCCGAGAACCCTGAGGACCCTCAGGGGGATGGGGTGACGGGGTCCAGGCTCAAGCGGTTTCTGCAGGGTGTGCCGGAGCTGTGGAATGTTACGGATGAGATTAATGACCTCATGTCGTTCTATAAGGAGTCTATTGGCGGGGATGAGCGGGATACGTTCGTGTATCACCAGGCGAGGGGGGCGGGGGTGTCGATTGCAGAAGTGCTGAGGGGTCTGGCGAGGGAGATTCCGAGACGGAGTGGGCTTATCGAACGGATTTTCGAGGATGACGAGCAACTTCTGGAGATGGCAAGGGGGTTCAGCCTTGGGCAGATTGAGTTCTATCTTGCGTCGGAGCGATATCGATTGGCGGAGCTGCGGCTTGAGTGATGGTGGTGAGCAGAGGCTATTCCGAAGGCTCACATGAGCCTTTATTATGTAATTTTTAAGTCTTAGCGGTTATATAACCTATAAATACTAAAAAAATTTTACCGCATATTTAACCTTTTTTATTTTTTTAATAATATTTTAGTATTATTAAAACTTTACTAATATTATAAACTATAGGTTAGCTTAATAAAGTTATAAATATTAATTACTTTTTAAGTTCTTAAAAACTAGTTAAGTTACTTTTTAATATATTTTAATTATTTATTTATTACTTTAAAAGTGGTATTAATAATATTTTAAATATAATTTTAAAAAAAATATATAGTACCTGCCTTATAAAATTATAAGTTACTTTTTTTAAGCGCTTTTTAAGTACTTATACAAGGGTTAGTATCTATTTTTTTTTATTTTATTAAAAAATTAATTTTTTAAGTTTACTTTTATTTTTTATTTATTTTATTATAAAGCACTTAAGAAGCACTCCTAAACTACTTATTAATTATTTAATTTTTTATTTATTAAAAAATTAATTTTTTAAGTTTACTTTTATTTTTTATTTATTTTATTATAAAGCACTTAACAAGCACTTCTAAATTATTTATTAATTATTTAATTTTTTATTTATTAAAAAATTAATTTTTTAAGTTTATTTTTACTTTTTACTTATTTTATTATAAAGCACTTAATAAGCACTTTTAAATTACTTATTAATTACTTAAGTTTATAATTATAAATTTTTTAATTTTTTAATTTTTTAATTTTTTATATTTTTTTATTTAATTACTTATTAATTACTTACTAACTACTTAGTTAATTATAGGAAAAAAATGGTTATATTATTATTTATTTTAAAAAAAAAAGTTTTACTGTCAGGGCCAACATTTTTCTGTTTGACGTCACCGGAGCTAATCTACTATTAATCTAGAGTTAGCGCCTTAGGTAACCTAAGCTTTGGCCTTAGGCTACTAAGGCTTAGCATACTTTATTATTATATTAGGTTATATAACTTAATTAAGTTATTAATATTTAAGGTCTTAGCTATTAATTAAGTAAGGCTAGGGTAGGCCTTAAGTATAAGTTAAAGTAAAAACCTATATATAAAGTATTTAAACTTATATTTACTTTTTAATTAAAAATAGCTTAAATATAACTTAAAAGTTTATAAAAATAGCCTTAAAGCTAGCCTTTTTTTTAAATTTTTAAATAACTTTTTTAATATTATTTAATAAAATTTAAAATACTTTATTTTTATTAATTAAATTTTTTTATTAATATTTTTATTATTAGTAAAAATTTTTAAAACTTATTAGTTTTATAGTTAAAGTTACTTGCACTTACTATTTTTTAAACTTTTTTAATAATAATATTTTAAATTAAATTTTTAAAGGGTAAGCAAAGGCAGTCCGCAGGCGTTTTAATTAAGATTTTTAAAACTTAAACTTAAATAATTAAAAAAGTACCCCTTTTTTATTTATGCTTAAAAATTTTATTTTTATTAAAAATAGTTAAAAAAAACCTAATTTAAATAATTTAGTTTATTAGCTTAATAAAATATAGGGTAAAATATACCCTTTACCTTATTATTTTATATTATTACTAAAACTTATTAATTTGAAATTTATTATAATTAAAGGTGTTTTAAAAAAAATAGCTTAAAATTATAATTTTTAGCTTATTTATTTTTTAAACCTAGCGTGATTAGTATCGCGTGTTAAAATTAAAATATTTTTTAAAAAAAAATAAAAAAAAGTTACCCCTGTAACCTAGAGCTAAAATAGTATTAAATTATTAATTTTTATATTAATTTTTTTATTAATTCCCGCGCTAATTTTTTTATTAATATTTTTAATAAACTTTAAAAAAAATTAATTTTAGTAATTTTTTTAATTTTAATTTAAAATTAAGCTTAAATAATTTAAGTTATTATTTTAAAATTACTTTACCTTTAAAACCTAGTGCTAGTAAAGCTAATTTTAAAAAATTTAAAAGTTTTAAATATATATAAAAAAGGTACTAAAAGGCTATTAAAAATTATAAGCTTTATTATAAAAAAAAAGGCTTTTTAAAAGCTTAAAATTAAGTTTAAAAAGGTTAAAAAGTTAAAAAAAAAAGAATATAATAAAGCTTAAAATCTAGTTTAAAAATTTAAAAAATTACTTTTATAACACCCCTAAAAAGTTTTAAATAAATAATAAAAAAATTATATTTATTATTTAAAACGCTTTAAGAAATGCCCGTAATTATTAAAAAGGTTAAGTTAAACTTTAAAATAATAAGTAAACCTAGGTAAATTTTAAAAAATTTATATATATATAAGTTAATTTAGTTATAAACCAGGGCCACCGCGCCGCCTAATATTTTTTAATTAAATAATAAAATACTTAAAATATTACTTTTTAAAAACTTTGCTTTATAAAATTAAGCTTATATTTTAATAATTTAAAGTTTAGGGCGCAAGTACTTACTAAAACTTATAATAAAAATATTTACTTATACTTAAAAAAGTTAAAAAAACCCTTAAAAATTATACTTAAAGTAAATATAGTAGTAATTTATATAAAGTTTATTAATAAATATAATAAAGCCTTAAAAACTAAAAAAAAAAAAAGTCCAGAGCTAGTTTTAATTTTAAAAATAAAAAAAATAAAAATAACTTAAAATAAAACTAAAACAATAGTAAAGCAGCTTTTTTTAAAAAAAAAAAAAAAAAAGTAAAAAAAAAGCAGTAACTTACTTTTTTAAAAAAAAAAAGTGCTATAAAAAAAGAGTTTTTATTTTAATTATAATAAATTAAGCCACCTGTTAAAGGCCTGTCTAAATAAAAAAAAACTTAAAAAAAAACTAGTAAAAAATAAATAATAATTCCCTGGTTTTAAGTTATTAAAGTTATATAATTTAAAAAAAAACTACTTTTTTTATCCTTGCGGATCTTAGGATGCAAAAAAATAAGGTAAATTAATAATTTAAGGTATTACTTAATACTAGGGTTAATACTAATTTTATTTTAGTTTAATATTTATAAAAGTAAAATATTAAAATAAATACTAATTATATAATATAACTAATTTAATATATTAATAATATTTTTATTTTTTACTACAGGTGTTTACAAGCCCGTACTTAGGTTTATAATTTAAAAAAAGTTATAAAAATATTTAACTTAATATATTATATTATTAATTTTATTTATAAAAATTATTAAGTAGTCCTAGGACATTTTTAAATAGTTAAATTAAATTTAAACCTTTACCTTATTATAATAAAATAGACCTAGTAAAATTATATAACTTTTATTAAAATTAAAATATTATAAAAGTTTATAAAAATTATATATAAAAAACTAGTACTTATAATACTTTATTAACTAAAAAAAATTAAAGGGGAAGTAAAGGTGGTTTTACCACCCTAGTATATTTACTAAAGTAAAGTTTTTTTTAAATAAAAAGCTACTTAACTTTTAACTAGTAAAGTAAAGTATAAAATCTTATTAAAAAAAGGTAAAAAGCCTTTATAAGGTCCTATTTATAGTCTTTTTTAATATAAATTATAAATATTAAAAAGGTATTTTAATAAAATACTTAAAAAAATAAATTAAGCTATTTTAAAGTAGTGCTAAAGCACTAGTGCTCTTTATTTAAAAACTTAATAAATTTTTATATTTTTATATTAACTACCGCGGTTTAAATATAATAACTAATAAAAATTATTATTTATTACTATATATTAATAAGCTAATAAATTAATTAGTAAATATAAAATATTTTACCAAGCTAAATCTGCGTGACATGTATTATAAAATATAAATTAAAAAAAAATAAATAAAAAATAGTATTTTAAACCTATTATAATTACTATAAGTATATAATTATGCCCTTTAGTTTAATAAATACACTAGCTATATTTTAATCTTATATAAATATAGTTATAAGCAGGATTTTTAACAAGTTTTATATTATTTACCTTAATAACATTCTTATTTTTTTAAAAATAAAAAAAAACATGTATATTATATTTAAAAAGTCCTTAATTAATTAAAAAGGCATAATTTATATATAAAATTATTAAAATATAGTTTTTATAAAAAGAAGGTAAAGTTTTTAGGCTTTATTATTAAATAAAAAAAATATTTATTAATTTAAATTATAGCCAGACTATTATTAATTAGCTAGAATTAATATTATTTTATAAATTATAGGTTTTTTTAAGCTTTGTAAACTATTTTTAATATTTTATTTTTAATTATATTAAAGTAACGTATTTAATAACCTAGCTTTTAATAAAAATAGTAAAAAAATATAAAAGCAGGCTTTTTTTATTTTTTACTAATATAAAAAATATATTTAAAAAAATTAAGTTAAATTTTACCGGACTGCTGGTATTATAATACTTTAATTTTAAAAAAAAATTTTTTATTATTACTAACATGTTAGGGTTTATTATTACTAGGATTATTATATAGCTAAAGTAAAAAAAATTATTTAATAAAAAAAAATAGGACTAGTGGTACCCCATGGCCTTTTATTTTTATTAATTATATAAATTAAAGCTTTATTATAAGGTTTATAATTAAAAACTACTTATAATAATTAAGTACTTTAAAAAGTAGTATTATTATTTTAAAGGCTTTTTATATTTTATACACGTGTAGTGTAATTATAATAACCTATATTATTTTTTTATAATAAAAATCTTAAATTAAAGGTAGGTATAATAAATAAAATTACTTATAACTTATAATTTTAAGATTAAGTATAAATTAAATAAATATAATTTAGTAAATGCGCTATCACGGTAATTAAATTAAATAATAAAAAATAAAAAGCACTAAGTTAAAATACTTTTTACTTTATAAAAAAAGTTAAGTTTATCCCCTTAATAAACTATTATTAAAATAATATTAAAAAAMCTAGCTATTCCTTCGCGCGGTTAGGCTTATAAATACCTAAAACTTTTAAGTCTTAAAATATTTATTATAAAAATAATAAGTAAAAAAAAAACTA